ATTGACAAAAAGTTAAAGTATATCTTGGAAATTTCTTCTTTTGACTTTCAATTTAAAATGTTTAATTATGAACACAGAATTTGTAAATGAACATGTGAGTTCTTTTTTCTTCAATTTTTACATTTGTGATGGAAAGTGTAAATGTCAATAAATTAAGCGTTGAATTTTTCTTTCGCCATTTCGACATTTAATGCTATTGGAATCTGTGAGAGATATTGAAGAAAATATTTGCTATTATGGACATTTTTTAATGTTTTTTGCTCAGTTAATAAACATATTCATACATGCATGCAGCAACTCTAGCTATTACCTGAAAGCAGGACTAATTAAAAGTCGAGTGTAACATGGTACTATTAAGACAGAGTGAGGCAATATACGTTTATGTGGCTTTACATCCATGCAATCAAAGGGCACCTGCTTCAATATGGATGCAATGACATAAGTATTCAAGGTTAAATTATCCTAAATGGATCGAAACCGGCGAATAAAGACAAAACAAATGTACATGTTAACATATATTTCGATTAAAAGGGTGATAAGAATGTTTATAGACATCATTAAGAACGTTTCCTTTTAATTTTATGATGACAAGGTTTTTTGTGAGTTTTTTTTAAATTGTTACATTATTCCTAAAAATTTCAACTTCACTAACGATGCGAATGATGTTTTTATTTGGAAGGAATCTGTGGACGATTATGTATTTATTGATTAACGTATTAAATTGTACGAGGGGGAATGGTAAGTGTTTATGTGTTTTACGAAAACTTTTTTAAATAAGCGTTATGTAAAATGAAAGATGTAGACTTAAATAGCTTTGGATCTGCATTCACAGGCTGGCTATCTCTCATTTTCAAATTTCTATCTAATTACTGGTATCATAATCCTTTAGACGTTTGAAGCAATTTCAAATTGATAATTTGTTTACACAACACGAAAATGAGTAGGTATTGATAGAAGGAATTCATATCAAGCTTGTATATTGAGACCTAAGAAAAAAATTCAGTGTGAATTTGATCCTTATAGACACTTTCTTGATTTGTCCTTCATTCTTTAACTCTGTACTTAACTTAGAGACATTAATTTGACTTCAATAATTTTGTTTACTTATATATAAAATGATTTCTTCTATTCAATTTTTAAAATGCTTTATTTTTATGTAAATAAAATAGTTTTTAATATCTTACACATGAGTTTTGACTCAAAAAAATATCAAACAAATTATTTTTATCGCGAGTTTGGTAGTAATATTGACTGCAAATTACAATTAAGGTTTAATTGCAATGAAGATATTCAGTTAATGCATTGCATGTCAAACGTTGCAAAATTTGATCTTTTCTATTTGTGTTTTTGTATTTTTTTTTATTTGTGTTATATAATTGATTTGTATTTTTAAATATGAATTGTATCCATTTGTACTCTTTGATTGTCCATTTGTAGTGTATATTTTCTATTTGTATTGTATAATTTTTATTTCTATTGATTAATACACTATATATATTCTCTTAAGTTTCAATTTGTATGTGAATTCCATTTGTATTGATAACGAAATTTATTTGTATTTAGTAACTTTGTCATTGAAATAGAATACGCATATACAATAAACATTTAAACATAGAAGCTATACAATGTAAATGGAGACGGTGCAAAATACATAACGAATTTACGTATACAAAAGGTCGCCCACATAGCGCAATGGTTACAGCGTTTGCTCTAGATTCGCGGTGTAAGGAGTTGATCTTTACGTCGCAGGTTCGAATCCCATTCGAGACGTGGAGACCGGTCCTTCAGATGAGACCGTATAAACCGAGGTCCCGTGTCGCAGTAGGTGCTGGCGAAAAAGATCCCTCATTGCTTTATGGCCCTAAGTACCGAGTATCTATACTTATAAATTAATAAATTTTGCAAATAAACTCCGAAACGGGTGCACCAGAGTTCTTACTTACTCCTCTAACAATACACTATATACAAGATGATGTCCGTAAACTATATTTAGATTTCACTCGCATAGTAAGTATCGTACATTAAATTAAAAGTCTACTTTTATTTTCTATAAACAGCCATGAAATAGCAAAAACGTGAGTACGGTGGAGTTTCCGGTTGGCGGATCTAGGTTACTGGAATTTTTTTTATGAAACTGACAACAAGCAATTGTTTATTTATTTCATAAAACGTCAACACTGAATTATTCAATCAAAGCTTGATTTAAATGATATAAAAGAAAAAGATTGTGATAAACGACTAAAAAGGGAAATGTCCAAATTATTTTTGTCATTCACCGATCTTGATATTGAAGGAAGCTTCTAGAACATCATATAGCATCGAGCCCGATGTTAAAAAGAAAAACGAGGCGATTATAGCTGCAAGAACATAAAAAAGCTTTTGTGTGAATGGTCATTGAAAAAATGGCAAATCCTTGATAACACTTTAAGTTGTGAATATATTTATATATCGAAAGACTATTACATATATGTAGTAGGTTTTCTAATAAATTTATCGGTAAAATTTGTATATATAATTTGTATTCCTATATTCCTTACTGAAAGCATCGTGGGAACGAACTCGAAGTACAATTTGTACTTCGTAATAAACTTGCTTACATGAAAAGAGAAAATTAATGAATAAAGCATTGTTCAAATACAATTAAAACTGTAAAATTTTGTGTTTTAATCAATACATTTCAGTTTGGTTTTTTTTCCTGAATACCTTCTTTGTATCAAATACTCGGCATAGGGCGTTATAAGCTGATTTTTACACAGACCCTGCACTTGGGTCTTGGTTCATAAATATGTAATTGTACCTTATTGATATGTAAAAAAAAAGTAAATAAAAGTATATTTTTACATATCAATAAGGTACATACATATTTATGAACCAAGACTCAGGTACCTGTGAATTTTTACCCCCCCCCCCTCCAAAAAAAAAACAAACAAAAAACAAAAATAAATAAATTTATCAGTAAAATGTGTATATTCGCTGATTTTATCCTTGACGGAAATGAAATAAGAGCAACTGAAGTACAATATCCAAAACATAGTATAGCAGGTTTCATAATAAACGTCAATTAATGAAATTGTTATTTTTCATTTTTTTTTTTTTTTACAAAAAGGGGGATGGGTGGGGGTGGAGACGTACATGTACATCTACTTCATGCGGGATTTTGAACAAATTTAAGTATTTCTTCCTGCTATAAGCCTGTAGGCTGTCAGTAGAAACTACAAAATATTTTCTGTCGGTAATGGTCTAAATTCAATTCCCCGCGCTTGCGCGGGATTTCATCTAGTAGGTATAGATTTGCAGCCCTTCACCTTAAAGTGGTGGCATCTACATATCACAGTGAAAAATTCACTGTTCAATCAAGAACTTTATTTTGGACTTTACTTTTCAATTTTTAAGTTGTGTCATATTTTTTATTTCTCACGATATGTTACGCGAATCTAATTGTTTAATTGACCAGTGACACTTTTCGGACTCTTGATCTGTTGTTACAAAGAGACAGAGTGCTATGTCTCAAGAACTAATAATCTCTAAAAACAACACTGTGTAATTATCTGGGGGGTTTTTATGTCCAAACATCAAAGCGTCATTGAGTTTATTTACTTAATCCATACCTGTGAATCTTTCACTCACTTTACTAAATGTCAACACCTGTCATTCATTTACTCATTATGTACATTCTTATAAATAGTCATGTATTCAATCATTAGTCTGGAATATACGAAGGCCAGTCTCGGCCACGTCCGACTCGTCAGGACTCTGAGTCCGGGGCCACTTCGGCCAGATCCGACTCGATCATTTTTAACTGTTTAATATGTCTGTTTGTTGATTCATGTAAATTGTTGCCATCGTTGAGACTCATCTAATAAATACGGAATCCTTCATCATTTGTTTTAACTCTGGAATTGCATATTGGTGGACCTTCGGGAGTACGGCACACCTATACTTTGTTTTTGCCTCACGGCCACACACCGCCTCTACCTATACCTCGTACCCTCTACGCCAACATTCCCTCACCCCGTTCGTTCTGCAGACAACGGATGCAGTTCCAGACGAATTCCTAAGTGCCGTCTAAATCTACACGGTCACATACATATGAGTAAAAAATAATCGAAAGGGACGTTTAACAACAAACAAGCGAATAGATAATATACAGTATAAATGTTAATTATGTACAAAATACACAAAATACGATGAATAGGATGGATAATACAATAAAAAGAAAAATAACTAGTGTAGAAAACATATTGAATAGATCGAACGTTGGTATATGTACGTTTAACATGTCATATTGATGCATGATCTTAAGCTGGGTTTGTCCAACTTTAAACAAACAGAGAATTTTTCCAGGTTTGGTAGAAAATCTTCCTGCTACTATAACAATTCCAGAGGATTTTGAAGGAGGATGCCCGATATATAAACTGCAATTGACTGGAGATGAGATTACCGTCTTTACCTTCATAGCCTATCCTCCTGAATCAGAACTACTCTTTTTGTTAGACGCAAATGGTGATGTCTTAATTTGCAAACAGAGCTACAAAAAATTGAACAAAAAATGAAAGACTTTAATCAGTCTTGATCATGGTGTCTTTTGTTGTCTTATAGAGGAAATTATGATTAATCAAAAATAATTATTTTATATGAAAAAAAAATTAAAAGAAAACATAAAGTTAACCTTAATCTTGAAGGAAATTAAGGAAAATAAAATTATTAATTTGTAAAATTACAAATATAATGTACACGCAAAATAAAATAATGTTTTTATTATATTCTTTGTAATTGTTGTCTCCTGACATAATGTTTACGCTTTGTGTATTGTAGATTTGACTGTCCACGTAAATGAGAATGCTACCTTTGATTTCGAGACACAAAATATTCATGTATTGGAATTCTATATTTTTTTCAAGTCATGGCCTGAGCCATATAATCTAACAATTTATATTGAAGATGAAAACGACGCACCATTTTTCCTGAAAGATGTGTACTTTTTAGACTTTCAAGAAAATATGGAGGTAAAAATTTACAGACAAATACATGTACAATACAATTTAAGTTCAATTTATTTCTTTTATTCGTGGTACTGATTCCATATGAATTTGAATGTATTTAAAATGAGTAGGTACATTAAATTCAAAATGATTCATGCCATACATAATACGAACCGTACCGTTGTCGGGGTTTTTCAAGTTCACATCATTTTCTTCGCAAAAAATGTAACTCTCAGGCATTTATTTTATTATCGTGACATTTGTACTGTTTCTACTCAGATTATTCCATTGTCTTTTAATTCACTTTTTCAAAGATCTTTGGAGTATCAAGTAAGGTGTGAAATTTAACACCATTAAAGAACCTGTCACACGCTCTTCGAAAACTCGTAATATTATGAAAATTACCTACAACTTTGTTTATTAAAATACTGAAAAAAAAGGTAACGGGAATTACAACTCCCGTTTTAAATGCTAAATATTGCTTGGTTTGTCAATCTAATGTCTTCTTTTTAACATAGAAATTCATTTTCTGTCGACTTGAGTTCATTTTACTGAAAACCCCCTCCCCTTCCACAAACACACAAAGACAAATACGACCTATTAATTCACAATAACATTCAAACATTTGAGATTCTAAGAATGTTTCCTGAAAACAATTAGATTATTTATTTATCAAAAATACAACTAGAATTACTAACAATATTCGGTTTACTTTGAATGATTGTAGGAACAATCTATGACTATAAAAGCAAGGGACAACGATGCAGACGACACTTTGATTTACACAGTGCAGAGTATAAGTGATACATCAAGAGGAATTAAAGATCATTTTCGTCTGAATCAAAAAACAGGTGAATTAACTTTTGAGGGCAACTATGACGTGGATCATGGCCAGCCATCTCAGTTTCATATCAAAATGTCTGCTACTGATTCTGGAAATTTAACTGCGTTCACAATTATCATCATTAATATTCACAATATGAACGACAACTCTCCCAGTTGTAAAGATATGACGATTTACACTCCTTTGTGCATTCCACTTGGACTTCCTATCTTGAACTTGACAGCAGACGACATTGATGGATCTCCGGTGTCGTTCATATTTTCATCGAGCAGTCCATCAAAGAAAAATGAGAGCAACGTAGGCCTCGATTCCATAAGACAAATATTTTCATTGACTGAAAAAGGTTCACTTTCCTTGAAAAATAACATATCAAGTGAAACATACCACCTCAACATCACTGTGGTGGACAATGGCGGTCTGACTGGCCACTGTGTTGTGACAGTTAGGTTTCTTAAGTGTGACGTGAATGTTTCCACATCTGAAGGAAAATTCCTGTTTGAATTAAATGAGAATGACAGAGAAGACTGTAAAAATAACGACACGCTGTATTGGGCACTTCCTCTTTGTATCGTCATTTGCGTCGGTGTCATCTTAATCCTAACAGTTTACGTATGCATATTGTACGTATTACATATATCCTCAATATACATTAATACTTTCTGAAGTAGTAATGGGTATACGGTTAAGGCAAACGAATGAATGCATACTATTTCTTAATATTCGTTGCTTTTTTCTCTTTAATATATATATAAACTCATTCAGGTAATATTATTTTCTATTTCAGGAAATTTAAGAGCAATCCTAACACCAGGGTGAAAGTTTTTGATCAGAAGAACTAATTTCTTTTTAGTTATCATTCATCCTAAGCCACAAATACTAACTACATTTAGATTTATTATTGATATATCCCTTCATTTAATAAAATATTTATGGGTCGTGTCAATTTATTCTATATGAAAGGAAAAATGTTGCTGTCACAGACATTTAGAAATAACAGTTTTATCAAGTAACAATATCGTAAGTCGACTCGATATATACCATCAAATAATCACCAGGGTCTACTAGACTGCCAGATTTGTTTAATATTTTTGATTTTTTTAATGTAGACTGAATAGCAAACTAAAATCTAAACTATATGCAACATATTTATTTCAGCTTTTCCATTAATTGTTAACTTTCCATATTTATACAGCAATAGTCCATGGTACCTGCATAAGGTACATATTATGTATTTGTGTCTTCTAGCTGTTTCGGTTAGCAAGAGAATGTTTGTGTTCGTAAAATTTTTAAAGCGAGACAGGCTATCGACAAATAGGTTGATATGCTACATATACAGGGACTTCAACACTATTTTTCCAAAATACTAGCTTAGTTATAATGACCCTGTTTGCAAAAACATGTACAACCTACTTTGGGTCAAATTTTGATTAACATGTTTCATACCAATTGTTAGACCATTGTTTTCGTACTAATTTTGTTTACGGATCACTCCGTTTACGTGATCAATACAGAGGAATCATCGGGTTTGACCTGTAGACAGGAGACGCTTACTCTACCAAGACACCTGATCCAGCCTATGTGGTTTCTAGGTTGACATGTTTTTGTCCAGTTCTCAATTTTAGTTGTTTATCACTGATCGTTGTCGTCATCATTTTTTCCATTTACATAACACATGTATATGCACTATACCAAATGGATTTTAAGATTTTTACCATACCTTTTCCTTCTACGAGTTTCATATTCAGAGTGATATAAGAACTCATAAATTCTATATTAATAAACATGACAAGTACTTTTATATTGGAACTGTTAAACAAAAAATAACGGCGTCGCTGACCAGCTGATATAAACATATCAGATAAAGTTCAAATGAACACAATACTCAAGTGAGCATTTCTGATAAAAAAAAAAAAATGTCCGTCTCTCTGCCTATTGTGTCTCTAAGTTTTTATATTTTTCAATGTTCGACTTCTCTATAACCACGAAACCAATTCGATCTAAGATTGATTTTTTTTTTTAGGGAAAAAAAAACAAATGTTCTTGGGTTCTGTTTAATTAAGAAAATCATGTGTACCATATATCAAAGGAGAATTTTAAAATTATGATTAAAAAAGATTTAATTTTTAAAAATCCGCAAAATTTAGTGTGTCAGATAAGACAAAGCGTCTATGAAAGAATATTTTAGTAAATTTTTATTTCAAATTTGTACAAATTATGGCCTCGGGGTTGACTTAAGGACTTGAAATTTTTTTTTCTCTTTTATACGATTTAATTTTTTTTAATCCTCTCCTTTATAAGTCCAGATCAATAATTAGGGAAATTACATATACATGTACATATATAACTCATCTGTATAAAAAAATTCATATCTAAAAATATCACTGGGGTTATTGTGATACAAAGCGTCAAATTATCCAAATCAATGAAAAACTTTTTTTTTCTCAAGAACCAAAGAGCTAAATGAGTAGTCAAATCAACAGAGAATGGAGAATATAGAGTAGATTATAAATAGAATACTCTTCTCAAGAAAAGTAAGGTCACACCTACATTTATTAGCACACAAAAATCCATATACATGTACATATACTATTGACATGATATGGGGTTCAATTTTATATAGAAATGTGAAGAAAAAAAAATCCCAAATGTTTCCTCTATATATAAAAGCATAACAACAATAAGTGATTTAGATGCACGATAATCTCCATGCAGATTGTTTTGGAAATTCAAATTTACGATAGGCAACATTGAGTGTATATAAGTTTTACATAAAAAATATACAGACATTTATGAAAAAGTTAAACAGTTTGTAACTTAACATTATAGATCGACTTGACAAGTGGTAAATGGAGTTGTATACTTTTTTCTATATACCCACTTTTACAGGCTAAGAAAGGTGACTTGGACCATTTTCTTATCTCCGTTTAATGTTATATAAGATACATGTATTACCTATGCTAAATTGTAATATCATTTCTGAATAATGAATCTTTTCTTAAACATCATTTACGTAATTATTCCTTCTTTTTTTTTTTTTTTTTTTTTTGTTAAAAAATTCCTCGTTAATGAAGATTTCTGTTACAGTTAATTACTAGAATTAAACCATTTAAATGAACGTATGTTTACCATCATGATGAATGAGCAAACTAGATTACATAATCTTTCATAATTAAAACAAAGATACTTTTAGATAATTAATGCTTATAAACAAGATGACACTTTTAATTTATAAAGTCTATTTTAAAAGGGATTTCATGTTATCATTAAACAGCTTAACTATACCAGGTAGGATATTTTTGTCAGTTTATAGGCATAGGAAAGATGTAGCAATCAATCTTGTTATTAAGTGAAATTCTTTTTAAAATGATCGTATACATAGGAATAATCCCTTTGCTTCCTTATCCTTCAATACGTTTTGTAAAGAAAAAATATTAACTGTAAGTAAATTTAATTTATTATTTATATACGTGTAGTGGCTTTATTCTGTCTGACCTTATCATAAAAATTATTCAACACAGATGTGTATTTTGGACCCATGTTCAGGTTGTACTGTTAACATATATAAAACCCTTTTTCATATTTTTAACACATTCGTGTTCTAATCAAATTATTCAATCTACATCATATCATCAATTGAATAAATTTCAATTAATTAACAAGGAATAAAAACCCTATTTACCACATTTTGACAGATGTCGCTTATTGTGAAAAATTTGAATTTTTAATTGATTTAAGCTTTTTAACTGAAATGTAATAAATCAGTAGTTTATGAGTTTTTAATACGATAGTCGTGATTCCGTGTGTGGAAAAAATTATAAACGTTCTGTTTTCTTTTATGGCTGTACTTTATCAATGAAAAATTATTAAAAAGAATGTCATCTGTCTTCAAAACTCTGCAACTGAAATTTAACTTCGTTATATTAATTTCATTTTGAAATCATTGGCGCGTCGATCACTAATTAATAGTAAATATCTTCTCACACTAATATCTAGATTCATATGTTTATTTTATTTACAAAAGTATACCGGGTATCAAAACAGTATGAGCTGCAATTTTCAAGTTGGAAATATTTGTTGTAAAAATGTGGTTTACAATTTCAATGAAAGAAAAAATTTAGATTTAAAAATTTCTGTTATTAAATATTTGTGTATAAAAATATTTAGAGTACGCTGCTCCGAATGCACCGAAGCAAAATTGAATCGCCTTCTGTACAAAAAATGATTTCTTCTTAAATGCAATATACCCTTATATACCATAGTACAAAGATCTTTCTTCTGATAAAATTTGCCACGTTCGTTTTCGCTTATTGATCATGTTCATAAATGTTCAAGTTACATGCAGGATTATGATAAAAACATATTTTATAGCGAAATAATTATAATCGTAATTTTTTTATTTTACGAATGATTGTTTGTTTGATGTTTTAAGTCCCTAACGAGAATTTTTCACTCATATGTGAGGTCAAACACCTGTGAAGGGCTTCAAATTAGACCTTTACATGGCATTCAGTGCCATTGAATAGTGAGGGTTCTTCATAATTAGCATAAAGCGGTCACAGCAACATAGTGATAGGACGTTCGCTTCGTGATAGGGAGGCCCGGGTTTGATTCTCGATAGCCCTGCCGCGTCAACTAGGTAGTGACTGTTCCTTCGCCAAGAGCCCGTCATGAGACGTGAAAGTCACGGATCTTTCGGATGAGACTTTAGAAATCGAGGTCCCGTGTCAGTAGGCTTAGCACAATAAAGAATCCTCACGACCTAATGGCCCTCAATGCCGAATATAGGTCTAAATTTCAAGCTCTTCAGAGGCATATGGTGACGTCTCTATATGAGTGATAAATTCCTGAATGGGACGTTGAAAACATACAATCAATCAGTCAGTTAGCATAACAACCCTACCGTGACATGGGACCTACGTCTTTAAGGTCATCTCCGAAAGACCCGTGACTTTTACTTCTAATACCGGGCGCTTGGCGAAGGAATAGTCACATCCTTTGTTAAACATCTTAGTTTAACGCGGCGCCGAGAAGGCCATCCGATCACGTGCACGAAGCGAATACCCTACCACTAGGCTACCACGACCGATTTTTGATATTATTATGAGAAAAGAATTAAGTGTGCTATTGAGGGAGTTGGTGTAACAAGATTTTAATTTTACTTTTATATACAAATGTTCATTAAATTTACATTATTTGTCTTGCTAGTCAATTTTTTTCCCTATTATTTCCTTTTCTTTTGAAAATATCTCTTGTCATCAAGAGTACTTAATGGCACACATGTATGTTACTCTACATATTGCCTGTTTTGTCCAGGGTGCTACGTGTATACATGTCCATTACTTAAGCTCTATTGCAAAATTCAAACAACAATTTATTTCAAATTACAAAATAGTGGTCCAGTTTGCGCCATCTGAAACCTTCGCAATACATGTAATTAGATTGAATCAGCATCCTTTAAGTAATTCAAAAAACTGGAAAAAAGTATAAATTCATAAAGATTTTAGCAAATATTTAGCATATTGATTTAATTTAATTTACATTTTTTTTTAAGTTTTTCTAAAGTTTTAATTTTATATTCTTCTTTCATAACCTATGAGAAATGGGCGTAAAGTACTTTGATAAGATATGAAAAGCACAATACGAAAGAGCAAGTTTAATTTGACAAAAACAGTATTAGGGTAAAAAAATTGCAGACGTCGGAATACAGGAAAATGTTCCGTTTAAGAAATAAGTTAATGCCTAAATGCTCTAGGAATTTAGTCTCATTTTTTCAATATTTTTCTGTAGAATGTCTTGAGAATAGTGAATTCGAAGTTCATCTAGTCTTAAATAATGCAAACTGCCAATATGAAAATAAAGTTATTTTTAGCAAAAGAGAGAAATATGTTCACTCTTAAAATAAAACCCCCACTGTATAGATCTAAAGAATCGTTCTACTATATGACGTATTTTTTAAATCTAGAAATTACCTCGTAAAATACGAGCGCGACATGCGACATGCTTTGTCACAAACTCAGTTTTCATATATCTACTTATTGGATAGAAAAACGCATGCATTTCACACATAGGCTATTTAAATTACGTAAAATCTAAACTACCATGTAAAGAAAACAGTCTTAGTCATTTTGGCAGTAAAAATGGACAAACTCTCTCAACCTCCTCACAAAATTTTAAATGATATTATATGAAATTAAACATTACTGCAAATATTTTTTTACATTAAATTGTTTGCTTTTTAAATTCCTTGAAAGACGAAAAAGACATAAAACGAAAAAAATAGGGGGGAAAATGAAGATTTATAAAATATTGATGCGTCATCGTATTCATAAAAATAACTCTGTAAATTTCAATTTTAAGCTGATTTGAAAAAACGTTAAATTTACATTTCATTGACTCAGCACGACATTTTGTCGTCGCCATTGTTGCCCCGTCTAATCCTCGTGATGCTACGGAAATTCGTTTTTAATGATTCTCCAACGATACGAAGTATATACTTTATTGACCATTATTCTGTTAAAAAAATCAGGGTGAAATCAGTAAGCATTTGTATGGCACGACCTCTATTGTTACCGTATCTTAACACTGCCAGCAAAACTGAGCCAAATTATTCTATAAACCGATACCTTTTTGACAACAAATTGCATAAACTTATCTCTTTTACGCAATCCATATTACAATCAATATACAAGAAGATAAACTTCTTGGCAGATTTGATAAAATATCACGTTAATTTGCTGCGATAGATAAATGTTGGGCTGACACGACCTAGGGTCCTTAACATTTATCAAAGATTTAACGCTTGCTGCATTTTAAGAATAAAGCTCTAATCTTTAGCGTCCTAGTAATAATATTTCAGAGATGTCGATGAATTTATTCTAGTTCCTCCACCTTTTAAGTAATTCGAGGCATACATAAATTTATATAGAAAGTAAACAGATTTTATTTTTTGCACATTTTTTCACCTGAAGAAATCTTTGCTCTTTCAACCGAAAGGTAAGCATAGGGAGGGTATAATTATACATTTTCTTAAATGTGTTCTCATTTTCAAGATTTTTTTATCATTTTTTAAAGCAATAAAAATCTCAGATGCAGAATAATTTTATAAAAATGTTGAAGACGGATTTTTTATCATTCAACTTGTAAAATTTTTCGTCTTTCTTTCTCCTTTTCTCTAACACGTTAGACTACCAAACAGAGTAAGAAAGACGGGTGGTGCAAAGTTAAAGGTAAGCTTCATTTAACTAACGTATTTTTAAAAAAAAAGTTTTCAAAGTTTTGTATATTTTCAACTACCTATATAATTTTAACTTTGTCGATTGTTGATTTGTATTTACTTTACACGTACTCTGTAACCGTATCAGAATTGACACGATTTTTTTTCCAATTTAAATAAATTGATGCTACATTTAATCTATAAACATGTGAGGATCTAACAACATGTAAAGTTTGTATACCTACCTGTCCTTATTTTCATTATAACAACAAACGCCCCAGGAAAATCCTGCTTACCACCTATGGTACAAGATGGTCACAAATACAATACACGATGTGTTCATTGTAAACGATTCAGGTAATGTCCGGGTTAAGAAATACATACGGATTATCATACACAAACTCAGGTGGGTGACCACATTTTAATTGTATTATATAATAATTTTTAATAATTAGACAGTAATATAAGGGGTTGAAAGGAGCGGTTATAAATGGGTATTTCGGGTTAATCGTATTTCGGTCAGCCACAGACAATATTTCCTCTTGAATTGAATATGTAAATTTTAAACAATAATTATATTTCATTCATGAGCTAAATCTAAATTTAAAAAAAGAAATCAAAAGAAATCTAAATTTAAAAAAAGAAATAGAAGCTTATAAAAGTATACATTTCAATTATATTTGTTCAGTTTAGATATATACTCATTTGAACTTTCCCATATTTATCGCACTTAAAAATGTCATACTGTAGTTATTGATATACTGGTACAGTACCACAAAAGAGCCTTCAGAAGAGAGGCTTATTTATAATTAAGGTATTGCTTGATGTCAAGATGGTAATTTACCAGTATGTCATGGAAAAGTAAAATATATAGAAACACACTCTTCCCATTTAAGAGTGTCTCATGTGACATTTAGAAGATATTTAAATAGTATAATTTCTATAGGTCGATACACAAATCTGTTATTACTTCAAAATTTGCACTGAATAAAGCATTTAAAAGCTTGTGGGGACTACCGGTATACAGTTTTTCGAAACTGCACTAATTATGGCAACTAATAAAACATGCAAAATGTGTGCATGTGTGGTTTTTGAAAAGAAACTTTGGATAGAATGGTACTGACATTGTGAACTAGCAGTTTGCAAAAATACCTGTCTCCACTTAGTATTTGAGACCCCTTTCACTTTAGATTGGCCTTTTCTGTATTCCTTATTTTTCTGTCACACATGATCAAGAATTGTGAAAGTACATATCGTGGACACGGATAATCTATGATATAGACATTTTTTTTTAATCTAAGATGAGTCACGGAGACGTGTTTGGCTATAAACCTATTTCGAACAGTGTAAGGATAGATAAAAAGGGCAGTCATGCTTCTTGTTCATTAAAATTTACCTTTCAGTACGTAATTTTCTTGCGATTTGCAATAATACACCATAAAGTTTTGTTCTTTGACCTCTTCTTCTAGGCCTACATGTACCAGTATAATCTATCGAGCATTAAGAAAAAAATCGCTATGTACATAAGTCGTGAGACAAGTGTATTTAAGGTGTATAAGCTTATTCTATGTCAAAGCACACGCATCTGTCAAGGATTTATTGCAAGTAAATTTAACATTGGAAGACATTATTTGGATTGATCAGACGTAAAGTCACTAGTTCCTGTAAGATTAAACGAAATCAAAGACTCTTTTCTTTTTTTGAGCAAAACCGCCATTCATAAATAATGCAAAAAATATTTTTAGATGGAGCGTTATATTTTTTACTTGACCATTGACACCAGACCGATCAAACCTACGATTTACTGTGTCACCTTTGTCAATTTCCAACGATCTTTTGAAGGTAATTGTCGATGTCAGTGTCTGAATGTATTTATTCTCGGCGTAATTTATTAATAATCCTATTGGACGATTTAAAATATTTACATCCAATACGAAATATAAATACACTTCAAGGGCCTTTAAAGGCTGCATTTGTTCGACGTAGAGTGCTTGACTTCTTCGATTCTGTAAGAGTGTTTCTGGGGATTATTTTCTCATGCAGACTCCACGTTCCTCATTTTCTTGGAAGGGACTTTTTTGTATTAATATATGTACGTATTGGCAGCTCAAGTTTACTATATCACTGGATGTTTTCAATTTTATGAATTTTAAATTACATGGCCGGTATAACACATGATTACTTAGATACATAAGAAATGTTTTCAACAAGATAATTCTCTATGTAAATCTCTAGGAAAAGGAACTTTAATTATTCTTGTGATATCTTATGCTTGTATTTTTTAAGGTTTTCAAGTGTGCCAAAATGTTTTAAAAAGTCATCGATATCCTTTATTTTGTAAACTCAAAGATGTGGATCAAATATCTGAAACTTTTTTTTTCTTCCTTAAGTGCAAACAAGACTTTATATCACAAGACATATATTTATTTATGGTTTACCTGAAGAAATCAATCTTCTTGTTTTCAAACACCAATTTCTATACGTACTAAAGTCAAACAAAGCATAACCTGTAAATTCTTATCTCTTTACATTTTTAATTTCTGTCGCCTTCTGTGCTATTGAATTACGCTAGGTTTGTAATTAAACCAGTAATTATATTCAAGAGTCTTTCGAAAAACTTCAGACTTCTCGTGACCGAGGCATAACAAATGCCTCAAAAGTCGGTATATATCGACAGCAACTCATCCTATTTTTATCGTCAATCCAAGGGACATCTTGTCTCAGGATGTATGTTGTGTGAGAAGATATTCTATGTTGTCAAAGACGTGGAACATTACTTAACAGCTTAACAAGTAGGAAATATTCCTGGTGTTTAAAGCATGTGTGTATAAGATATATTGAAAAGGACTCGTAATAAATAATCCTATTTTCTTCAATTAACTTATTACGGGAGAAATTACATAGGTGTGTCAATCATTCAAAACAGCCTTTGTTATTATAAGTAGATCGTGTATTGAGGAGTTTAGAGAATTAGACTGATCTGCCCCAGAAAAAAAAAACAGGAAAAAATTACAGTCAACAAGTCTTGGATATTTATCGTAATTTGCTCTATTGTACTGCAGCTAAATGAATGTATGCTGCTTCGAATTTTTTTTTTTTTTTTTTTTTTTTTTTTTGCCTTTTACATAACATCACAAATGTTTCTTAATGAAATAGAAATTTTTTGCTGTAAACTTCAGGCCTGCATTTGTTGAAGCTAAAGTGAGCTCGCAGTTGAAGCAGTAGTGCATGCGCTCGCTGACATCTTTCTATGTTAAAATTAAATTTAATTATTTTGAATTACTCATCTGTAAGAATTTGTGACAATCGACTCGAAGACCTAGCTTAAAATCAAATTCCAACGTTTTGCCAGTCCATTAGGATTATAGTAACCTAACAATCGTTTAACCTACTATTTCGAGATGTCACATCAAAGAATGCGGGACACGAACCTGTGATTCTTCCAAAGAAAAGGCCTATTATCGGTACAAACATGTCGATTATAGAGGATAACCCTATAACCTTGTTTGTTATTTATTTCTATTGTTTTACATTAATGATTTATAAATAGTTCGAGGGTCACAGAGTTTGCGTGAATGGCATCCAAATTTGATTAAGATCTGAAACATTATCTTTTTTGACATATGTACGAACATTGATTTACATGTTGAATCGTTGTTTAAATGACTACAGAAATTTGGATTGAGGAACCATAATAAAAGATTTCAAAAGTAATTTAATGCCCCAATTTGTCAAGACTATTCTCCAATTATCTCTTAAGCTGATTGTGCAGTAGTCCATTCGATGCGTTTACCATTGCGGAATCAACTTGAGGAAACATCGATATACAATGTGTAATCTCTTTATTATCATTTTCTGCAGAGAACACAAAAGGAGGATTAGTCAACACATAGTGCAAGATATGAGAAACAGGCAAAGGTGAATAAAATCTAGTGCAATATTATATATGATCTACTTTTTAAAGTTTCCCTACATGGATGAATTACTCTACAAATGAGTCTCCATGTTCCCAGTGAAGGAAGGCATGAACATTCTCCTACAATGAAAGAGTACAGACGACCATCTTTGTCCGTTATCGACGAGACTAACAACAATGAAGAGGAGAATTTTCTTGTGTTGCCATCGATTACTGTTACAAATTGCGAGGATTCACTTCAAGCAAGTGATGATAATGACGAAGTGTCCTCCGTGACGTCATCAAGGAGCGGAAGTGAAACAGATTTAGCGCATCTGAAAGTAACTGCCAATAGACTTCGATTAGCAACACGAAGGTCAAGCATTGTGGAATGGAAAGAACGGTATCTTGAAAAGCCTCGGAGAAGGTCAAAACCAGACCTAAAAGTAGATTTTGATCAAAATGGTAATGATGTGTTGACAGAGGATAGGAAACATAGGATTAATGAAGCCTTGATATGGATCAAGGAAGAATTGGTGAGTTTAGTTTACAAGCATCGTTGATATATATATAATTTGCTGATTTGATCATGATATTGCTAAATCGTAAAATAAATTTTAAGCTCTTAATGTGAAAATCCCAAGGTCCAAAGTCAAAAACAGTAATTCCATTTAAATAAGGTCATAAGGTGAAACTCCACATTGACACTCACATTCATAGAATTCAGACTCGGAGACTACTCGTCTTTGTTTTATCTTACCGAAATCGTTAATGTTTTAAAGATATCAGTAGGCATGCTTATGAGGCTATCTTAGGACAGAGTTATATCATACGACGAACTTAAGGACCCTCTCTACACTCCACCTTATTCTCTATTGAGAAGTTGATGGCTCGTTTAATACTCCCCCTCTTGGGGGGGGGGGGGAGGAGTATTAAACGAGCCATCAACTTCTCAATAGGGAATACACTCCATCCTAAATTTCAGGGTACTTTTGTGTAGTTAGACTGACCCTCAATTTGACATAAAAAGAGAATAAATTGTAATCTGCACCATATGACATAACTTAAAATAAATCCAAGTATTCTAAACATTATATTATAGCAAGATAGAGTAGTTGAAAACTTTATTTGCATGTATTTTCTCTATTTGAGTAAGCAAAAGCGAATTTTTTTTTTATTATAACTTCATTATCTTTGAAGATATTTCCTGGATAAAAAAAAAAGGGACGCTCCCTATATCAAAAATGAATTAGTTAATTCCAAAATATCCTCCTTTACCATGTTTACGCTATACAATTTTCTCAAAGCCCAAAAAACATTTTTCATCAGTGTATAGAGGGCCCTTAAGACATGTCTTAGTCTGAAGTGAGACCAACAAATTTACACATTCTTCCTAACTTTAAGACGACGACTGGTTTATCCTAAAACAAATTTTAGGTGATTTAAGAAGCGCTGGCGCCAGGAAAACAATTGAATAAACTTAGATTTTTTTAACTAGGGTATTTGTGTATTTAAATCCAATAATTTTTGTGAAATATTAATTTCTTTCATGAATCAAATTCAAATTAGTAAACAATGTGCCGTGACACTGTAAATGTACATATACAAAAGGAAATAGAGAAAGTATTAAATGACAGTACTGAATTAATAAATTGATGTATTAAACATGTAGCAGGTTGAAAAACGCTCTGAAGTAGGTTTAGTTGGGGGGGGGGGGGTCACATGCCATAAAATACCAAGCATCCCCCGTCGACCGGTCAAACCCGCCATATTCTCCTTGTTATTACATATTACATTTAATGCATGTATATTGTTCCGAACCTGTTGCACGCATTGGTAGTAGCCGTTTTAATGATAAAGAATTAAAACCATAGACATTATCTAACGAAAGATTTATGAGCATACCTAAAGGCTCGGATGCACATCAGTACTGCCCCTTACCTTCCCAAAAAGAGTGAGTGAGAAAAAGAGCTCATGATCATCTGGGGACAAAGAACGAGATGTTCTGGAAATATATCTGCATGTTGCAGGTCTATAGATAATTTTGTGAAAAGTATGTATTAAACATGAACATGATGAAGATGTATGCATCAAACTACAGGGCCATCTGCCTGTACACAGCCATTTGTTTGTACACATTGTTTGTATAAGTTTGACTGCAGTCAAAAGAAACGAAAAAAATTATGTAATGCAATGCTGTCTAAGTTTTCAAAAGCATTAATGCATTGTGTAAGTTTTAATATGTATATAGTATGAGTTGGCTAACGTACGTGTCTATCTGAAACAACGAATCACATGAAATCCAACTCTATATTATGCTCTTACACATTATTTAGAAAGTAAAGTTGGTTATCTTCCAGCAATGCTTGTAATTAAACAGTATAAATCGTTTCTTACTCAAGATCAGATACAAATACATGTACATTTAAATTTCTATTTCAAAATAATTTATATACACCGTATTATATTTGTAATTTTTTTATGCTTTAAGTACAGCTCGTTTAATTAGAATTTAAAAAGTTCCTTCATAAAAAAATAAGACTTCAAACCTTTTCGAAAGACAATCTAAAAAAAAGTTGAAACATGATGTAAAAAATACCGTTTTTCTCTTTACAACGATATTATATTACTTTGAAAACTGGCTGAGCAAGTTTGATTATTTTTCTGTATTGTCACATGGTGAATTAAAGATTAAATAGTCCCATTTCCGATATAAATCTTCAACAAGTAGAGGTTGTCAGTCTAATGGATAATCATCGAGGCACAAAGACCTCGCGTAAACAAGTGAATTTTACAAACGAGTTGGCGTCGCATTAGCCATTGAACGACAAAACCTTATCACAATAAATGTAAGAAGACAGGTGTAAAACACGAGATTTAAAAAAAGATAGCTAGGGTATTTACCTTCTTCAAAACCTTTAGTGTAGACCAGTGAAGTTTCATTAAAATTGCATTATGATTTATTCATAAATTATTCCTACAACTGTGAATTAGTAATACCTATGTACTCATCAATACATGCACAGTGTGTTTTTTTTTTTCAACATTAAAAACTAAACGATAGTGATGAACACTATCAGAACTTTAAAATATGATACGTTAGTCGAAAGCATTCTTATCTTATTCATATACTAATGAGCGGAGTAAACGTTTTCATTATGCAAAAATCTTATCAATTATTAAGATATAATTATACTATTTTCAGATTACGGAATCAGTAATTATAAATCAATACAATAGTTGTTACTTGTCAAATAATTATAGCAAGCCATGAGATCGCAGGACCAAGCACTAGCTAGAAAACTTCTATCATTGCGTCAGGACATTCACCAACTGAAACTAAATCGAAGTTGTCAGGAACACAGAGAGATGCTTGATGACGTCACTAAAGACATGGAGGAAATGCAACAACTGAAAGACATAAGCGACCTCCATGTGGATACTGTGGAAAATCCACTGAAACATTTAGGTGTTACCTCTTACAATTTAACTGCCAGACGTTTTTCAACATGTTGAGATAATTCTTTTGTTACATGTATATTGGATATGAGTTGTTGCTTTATTTTGCGAAGATTTGTCAATGTAATGTTTTTAGTAAATGGGACAACTGCAATAATAATGAATATATATACAAATTGTCTTTTTTTATTATTCGAAATTGATTGTACATAAGTAAATTAAAATGTTTAACGTCCTTTACTGAAATACTGATATCGATTATGTTGAAATTGTAAGAATGTTTGCAGCATTTTGTGATTGTAATGCCATTTGATACGTCATTCTTACAAGCAAAAACATTGTTATTCGTAACAATAAACACGTTTCAAAAATAAAACACTTGGTGGGATTAAACTGTCCTTTCATGTAGTACTTAATTTGATTATGTTTGCTTTATTTTTCCCCATATACTTAAGCAGTACAACAATGGTTTATTTTAGGACCTTTGCAACAAAATTAATGTTTGTTGATTATCAGTCTGGAACATAATGATATATTATTGATGTGCTATTATATTTCAGTCGAACTTTTGTCTTGAAAATTTTTTTTAAGGGTCCATTTCATGCCAAGAAATTGCATATGTCGACAAATTATTTTTCATCGATACATGTGATATTAGATTCAAACATTACAATCGTATGCACACTTGCTGAGAAGTAATTAAATAGTAAGAATTAATGAGGTATCTTATATGACTTAATTTTAACGAGTGCATGCAACCTGAAAAATAGCATTTACCATTTTTCTTTTACTCTACTTCTTTTGTACATTACCTATGATGATTGATGAAGTAAATCTGTAGAATGCAAACAATGCTACAAATGTACATAGCACATAAGCCTTGCACACTGAATCTGAAACAACGTAAAAAAAAAAAAAAAACGTACATGTACCCTTTTATTATGACTATGAAACTGTTTATAATAAAAAGGACCGTGATCGAAGCCTATATATAAGTTTTAAATAAATTTGAATTCAGATTTAATCTCAATGTAACAAAAGTCTAGTATGCATGTGGATGCTCTAGTTGTCATCCGAACAAACTGTCAAATACAAATCTTCTCGTTTGTGGGACATACTGTTTCGTAAAAGTCGTCAAACATCAAACATGTTTATATTATGTTGTTTGTCCATTGGAATGGAGGTACATTTTTGTAATTTATTGTATTAACCAGAGTGAACTGAACTCCAACTAATGTTACTTTCAGTATTGTGTACGCCCCCCTGCGGAGCGTCACGCTTGTCACAACAACACAAAGTCTGTGCAAGATGTGTATGAGGGGAAACAATGCAAGAAATTCTTATACAAAAGAGAAACGCTAAATAAATCCGATTCTAAAGTTAATTTACATGCAAAGGATTAAGATATCCTTTCTGTGCAGGTGTTGCATTATAATAATCGGTTAGAATTTCTAATCGACTGGTGCCTGAAATGTTCTTTGATACATGTATTCGTGTAATTTGGAGCCAAGTATCTTTCATATGAAAGAACTATCGTTCATTTAGATAAGAAACAAGTATTTGAGGTAAAGAGTATGAAGAAAAATTTGTCACATGCAGACATACTGGAAACAAATAGAAGTGCATATGATGCCTCCTTATGGAAAACCGCTGAAACTTCCGAAGTTTACGATATGAAGAGGAAAGGTATACGACAGGCATTTTCCGCCAGTGATATAAAATCTGTGGATACCTTACCCCCTTTAGATATATACTTATTCAGATTAAAATGTAAAACAAGAAAACTGCGACTCGATACAAGGCGTCCAAGTTATCTGGAATGGAGAGCTAGTTTAAAGAGATATCGTGCGGAAAATGAGCACGATTTGGATAGGAACAAAGGTGTTCCAAACGACCAGGATTTCGAGAAAATCAACAATTCTCTAAAGTGGATTCGCGAGGAGTTGGTAAGGGAATTGCTGCTCTTTAACACATTAAATTATGCTTGTTGATTGTATGCTCTTGGGGGGGGGGGGGATACGCATATTGTTTCAAGAGTATTTTTCTCAAATACTAAGAAATGTTCTTTTCCGACAGAGCAACAAAATGTTATTACTTTTTCAACATGTTTAAAAAGGAAATTCAAGTCAGTGTATATATCTTGAAAGACTTGAAAAAAGTAAATACCTCTGCCACCACAATTAACCTTTCACTATAACCTTATATCATTAAATCAAAGAAAAGGTAGGAATCTATAGTTATTGAAAATTGTACTTGTTTGAGACTTTAAAGCTGATTTCTCCAACCTTGGAAGGAAAAGGAAGGAGTATTTTTCAGTAGTGAATAATGCCATATCTTCATCTTATACTCTTCGTATTTTTGTAGACAAAAATGAGAGAACAGGATCAAGACTTGGCTCGTCAGTTCTTGACAATTCACAGTGATATACAGAAACTAAGATTAGAGTGGAGTTGGCAATACCATGAATTCAGTCTGCAAGACGCTTTAATTGATTATCAGGAAGTGGAAGAAATTAAGCGAATATCTGACCTACCTCTCGTCTCGGATACTGAAATGTCATTAGTGGATAGAGGCTTAACTAAAATGAACTTATGTCATAGAAAATATTCAGTTACGTAGTGTTCATATAATTATTGTCACTATATATCTAAAAATTTCAAGACATATCAGAAGATACATGTATCATGCTTACCTATGTGTACTGTTTATTTAATGATGTTCATATACTTTTTTTAATTGTGAAATACTTCATTCACCACAGACATTAAAAGCCTAGCAGATTCTCATATGATAAATGCAATCACAATTCAAAAGTCAAAACTGCATTGCTTGCATTTTTATTGGTTGGGATACAGTACTGAAATTTATCAACATTCAATCTTCCTTTGAAAGGATGAGGTAAAACTTTGACGCAGTAATCTAAACTCGGCATTAAAAGTGTTATTCTGCAAAGAGCTCTATTCTTTGTTTGAACATACTTTCCAGATTTTCTTTTTACACTGAAAAACATGTTAAAATGAATCTTATACTCAGATAGAAATTAATATTTTAATTATAAAGATTATTGATCTTTCATATTTCCTCCATATGTAAGAGGATTAATTTTAATCTTTTGAAATCAATATCAATAACTTAAGTACACCCAAAGCACGAAGACAATCTGTCGATGTCTATTTCTCTGCAATATAAAGACACAACTAGCATCTGGTACAAGTTTTCGACAAAGTAAGAACATTAAACTTGTTGAAAGTAAAAATTGCCAGTCATTCTCCAATATTTACTTAAGTATTAAAAGTTTAAATGTTTATTGACAGAAGGATTTACTAATTCAATGAGTATATTATATAAATGTTTATTTTCCAAATGGTTGAAAATAAACAGACGTGCATGTAATGTTGAGTGATTACATGTAACGAATTTCTGTTTATATAATAAAAATCATGTGTCCGTTAATAAACAATACAAGCACGTTCTTTCCTTCGATTTCAAGAGATGTAAATCGCTCAGTGTATTTTTTACCTTTTTTCCATTTTTTCAAATATTTATTATGCCAATTTGTGTTATTTATTGTTTATTTTGGATATACATGATGTATTCATATGTATTTTGACTAAATGATACAAACATTATAAAAAAAACCTCGCCCTGATTTCAGAAAATAGAGAAAACCCGGCAGTAGAATATTAGATAAACAGAAAAACGTATTTAGTTTAAACTTACAACAAAGGTTATTTCACACCCGGGTGAGGGGTGGGGGTTGGACAGTGGGTCCCTGGATAGATTCACAAAAAGACTTCAACTTAATATATAAAGACCACTTGTGTAAACTATTTTACATTAATTTTTCCCCCTACATTTAGCGTAAGATGTTAATTGATCATGAGTTTAAAGTAACCTTTTGGTAAAGATTTGTAAAACAAAAATAATTCATGAAGGGTCAACAGGGAGGTTACCATATGGATTAAAAAAAATATCTTTCTTCTAATTCGGCGATGTTTTTGGGTAAATTATGCACTGCACATTTGTTTTCCATTTAAATTATAACAAGTACATTTTGTATACGGTCTAGGGAAAATGTTTTCACATTATTTCAAAATACAAAAATTAAATCAGATACTTTCATCACCCACCTTTCACTTTCATTGATACATAAAAAAGGGGAGATAACCCAGAAACATAGTGACTAAGTACCGACACTGTATGGGTGGATAACAAAATTCCCACTTTACTCAATCATCAGTTTCTCGCAAAATAAGAGGCGAATGATGACATTAATAACAGGGTAGAGCTTTGATAACGACGCATATTGTGAGACGAGCTCAAATATGCGGTATTAACCACAAATAAGGGATTTATCATCCCAAAAAGGGAATTAAGAACAATAGAAAAGTATCAGTTTTTCACTCTGGGGTCAGAACATAAACCCTCAATTTAAACATGTTTACATTAGGGTCGTTTTTATATTAAGGGTTCCAGATTCTTTATGTGACGATGACTGATCTGCCAGTTACTCCAAATATACATTTGACATATCTACAAAGAAGTTTGCTGCCAGCAAAGGATCAAAAATCCAAGCAATGGGGGTTAGGCTTAATAAATGGTGCATGTAAGTGACCTTCGTCCACCCTAAAGAAGTTAGGTACGATTTGATTAAGATTTAATACATGTATTATATTATCAACATGGTAAAGGCATGCATGTACATAAATATTATCATAAATATTTATTCACCGTCTAAGTACAAAAGTTTGGAACCATCTGAAGCATAAAATGCATTGGCATTTACTTTTAACATCGACGATTAAAATATTCATAAAATAATTCATAGGGCTATACATATATTAATCTGACCTTCATGTTATAAAAAATTAAATATGTCAAATAACTTAATAATAGTAATTTAAAAAATGAAACGAAGACTAAGAATTAATCCATAACAAAATAATAATAAAAAAAATGATGTAAACAACCAATGAAACATAAAACTTTCAATCATTCTTGAAAGTCGAAATACCTCTTCATACGTGTATTCAAAGGGGGTAAGTGTACTAAGAAATTTTCAACATCTTACAAATTAATTTATAGTAAAGGTGATTTGAGTTGTCTTTCCTAAAATAGTTTACCTTAATTCAACAGCTTATATTTAAAAAATAATTACGCAAGCATATACTATATGTATTCAAGAATTTAAAGTTTAATCAGCAGGTCTAACTTAATGATTGAATCATAAATTGAGGATGAATTAAATTACCGTTTACACTAGTACTCTCAGACACAGAAAGGCAGAACACAGATGGAATCAGAAAATTTTAGATTTCACCTTAATGTATTTGAGTCCTTTATGTTTTTGTCTATGTTTCTGTAGCCTTGGTTTGTAGTCGGTATAATCAAAATATTCCCAGGGATCGTCATATTCGTGAACATGTTCATATCCATGATAGGAACTATAATCACGTGATATATAGTCTTTGGTTATTGGTTGATATTGATGAATTTTCTCGTAACCATGGTATTTGACTTCATGCGCATGTTCATACAAATAAGCTCGATGGTTTGGACCAATTCCATATGACCTTCTCTGTTCTGAGGTCTGCTTTGATTTGGAATACACGGGTAGCATATCATGCAGCGTTACATGTAGTAAATCTTTTTTTTCGGTAATTCAGTGCTGTTCAAGAGCACGGGTCGTGATGTGTTCTTCTTCACTGAAAATAGAGTCGTTCTTGATCTATAGTGATGGTTGGGCAACTTATGTACACCTTTCTAATACATGTACATAGACATGTATTTTATTTTTATGTAAAAGAATTTTTAAAAAATGATGATGAAATTCAAAAACTTACGTATTATATCTTTCGCCCCTTTCCTCTCTAGTTGAAGGTATTTCTAACTCTGTGTTACATATACCGTGCACAACTAAATTTGATTTACCCTCGTGTAAAAAAAAAACTGATTTTGTTCAGTGAAAGGAGTCATTCATCCATCGGATTAACAATCATATTGAGAAGATTGAATTCGATCACAAAAAAGCATGGTTGAGCCATTCAGATGAAAGATCTTTTATTATCTAATATGTACTAAATGAATGTCTAAGTGATTCAAACTTCGTCGATTTAAAGTTCTAGGTAACAAAAGAGCTATTAGAAAAAATTACTTACTTCAAAATTATAATAAAGAAATGTTGGATCTTCACAGATGTTTTTCAAGTACATTTGTACAAGTAAAAAGAAATGTTCTCCACAGGGACGTGGCATCGTTTTTGAAAGGGGGGGGGGGGGGCAGCCAGAGAAAAAAATTCCAACTTACTTGAAAAAGAAAACTTGACAAGCAAAAAAAAAAAGGAAAATTGAAAATTGTCCTATTTCGTGGGGCGGGGTTATAAAATTCTTTCAATACAAAGTTTTATTCATACACTACTACAAAACCCTTATTTAACTATTCTACAACAAAAAGTGTGGGGGGGGGGGGGGGGGAACCGGCCTTTCAATTAACATTTCATATAGTAAAAAAAAGTCTTTGGAAAAAAGTGGGGGGCCAGCCCCCCCCCCCCTTTTGCTACGAGCCTGCTCCAAACGCCTCCAAACTGAATTATATATATCACTGCATCCAGTCAAAAAAAAGTCTGAGCGTATGTACAAAGAAGGATAACTCGATCTACATGTAGGTATACTGATAGCCGTGTTCAGAAAACTTTCTTAAGGTATTTCCTAGGATTGTTTCTAAGATATGATTCAGGAAGAATAGCCTATATGATCAAATTAGGACATATCTTAAGATGTACATATGTAGCTCGACGGTACCTTAGGAACATTCTAAGATAGGAAACCTTACATGTACCTTCTGAAAATTTGCGAATCTTCACAGTCATATACCTATTACATGTATATACATTTATAATTTAGGTTTTTCAGCTTTAAAAAAGTTAAGTATAATTTATACAAAAATTATCTGTCTACTTGTTTCAGTATAAATACATGTGCATGTGTTTTACAATATGTACATTTTTACAAAAATATTCATAAAAATGCATCGATCAAAATAAAAGATTTAATTTTATTTTTTAAATATGAAGTTTCAATTATAATATCTACAATATATTGAATAACTTAAAATTAAAAATAAAATAAATTTAAACTTTTTTTATCACGACGAAGATTACGATATAATAATCATAAATGGAGAAATGTATATAAATCTGAACGTCTTTAAATTAATTATCTTTTAAAATTAATTTTAAAAATAAGCTGTAACGTTTACGAATGGCAAACATTGGAAAAATTGACAAAACATGTTTGTCTCCATATACATTTTAGGCTAATGTGCTAGATTCACAAAAAATACACGTACACGCATGACCAATTTTTGATCTATATTTTTGAATATGATACATTTACTTATCAACACTCGAAAAATTAAAAGTTTCATATATCTTACGGATAAGGATACTATATATGTGTGCAGATATTGCCACATCCATAATCAGGCTGACAAAGAACTAGAAATCATATTATAGGACAATGATTCTTAAAAGATTATATCATGTTGCATAAAATAAGCTATTCAAAAATGTTCAAAATTTCAACAGGGGTAATGCACAAAATCATGCAAAAGATCTTTGTCTTATCTGAGATGATGAATGCAGCTTGCATTCTAAAAACTCTTTGTTAGGCGTTTTTTTAACCTATTGTTTAGAGATTATGATTAACAGGGACACTAAAGGAGAGCCATAGTAATCGGTCACCAATACAGGAGGTGCAAGATTTTCGACCAAGGGTCGCTTGTCGCGGGTTAGAATATCATTTAAATGCTTAAGGCATTATTCAAATAAAACGATTTGTAGTCGAGTGCAACTGTATACTAGCGTTTTGGGAGTCACAGAGATTAACAAGAATTAATGTATCTATAAAACTAAGCCGCTTTTGAAGAAATGAAATGTTTTAGGTATAAAGGTCCAGACACCAGATATTCAAAAAATTGATTATATTTAATCAAGTAAGGTAGGTTAATTTTTCTGCCTAAAAAAGTACTGATATGTTTTACATGTATTTTAGTGCACATTCGTATTTTCGAAGTTTTACGATCATACATGTAAATCACCAGTGTTTGGCATTGTTAACAGTGAATTTAGCCCATAAATGAGTATGTCGGACGGAGCTTAAAATGAATTAAAACATAATTCTCTGATTCACGTAGAATTACTATCATTTGAGAGAAAATTTGTAAATATTTTAAGAGTTCTTTAACGAAATACATATGAATCTTTGAAAATCGGTCTCACCGTAAAAGATACCAATCCGGCGGATTTAATCGACTGCATAATGTCTGTTAGTTTTGTTGGATGTTCCAGTATACAATTATAATTAAGGACCAATGACACAAATAAAGCAATGGAAGCCAGGATTGGTACATGTATATATTTTTGGACCTAATTTGGTTGTAAATGATTAGAATAATAAATTTCTAAAACATTTAGAAATTGTATACTGTCTATGATGTTCAAAATTCCACCTTTCTGTAACCATCCGTATTACTCTATACAACTTTTTGTCACTTTGATTAAACAAGAAAGTGCTTTCTTTGGTTGTTAGTACGGGAATTAATGTCACAGCTATTGCAGAAAAAATACATAACCCGCGTAAGCGGGTTATGTAATTTTTTTCCTGCAATAGCTGCGACGTTTATTCCCGTACTAACAACCAAAGAAAGACATTTATATCTGTATAAATATAAGATCTCCCATGATTTGTAGTTGGATATGATTTTTATCCAAGGAGTTGTGTGTTTTTTATCCCCGAGCCTTGGCGAGGGGATAAAAACACACAACGAGTTGGATAAAAGTCATATCCAACTACAAATCATGGGAGATTCTTTTTATCCAATGTTTAAATCTTCACAACCAATGTTTTACACTGTTTTATATAGGACTCCACTTTATTTTACTTCATCACGCTAACGCAAAAACCATTGTGACGTCACAACTGCACTTAACTGTGTGATATGAAAAAAATATCCAATGAGTCATATCCACGGGATAAAGGGGTAAACATGGGATATATAATCATTTAAAGTAGGATTAAAAAGATTAATTATTGTATTATTGATATGTAGTCATTGTACGTTTCGTCGATGGAACAGCCACTGATCAAGAAATCTGTACAGGTGATATGCCTAGTGTTGTTCACGAACTGATAAATGGCAATGGTTTTCTTTAGAAATAAAGGAGAAAATATTCAGTGGATGTAAATATATCCCATTATTGTGAAACTTTGAATGAAAAATTAAAATCTATTCTGTTAAACTTATTCATTTTACTAATATAAACATGACTTAAGTTATTAATTTCAAGGTTCTTGGTACCATGTTGTAAATTTTGATTTAACTGGAAGGCAGTTAATACAAAATTTACAAAAGCATGTAAATTTTGTATTTACTGCCACCCGGTAAATTAAAAATTTACAACTGAATGCCACGGCAACTAGATCACATGCACCCTCAAAGTAATAAATGAAGAAAAGATTCCATGTCACTTTTTAATGAAGAATATATATATTTACATTTAAACTAATTATAAGTTTTATTTTCGATGACACTAATACCATATGCGATCAAGTTAAAATCCGTTTTCTAGCTTTAATGGTCGCTTATATACTTGTAATTAACATGATTTAACTAGGATTCAGATATATATTTAGATTTAACCTCTTACGTCTTTCATAAAACCTCTGCAAAAAGCTGTGTGGAAGATTCTATAATTATTTGTTCACTTCTTTTACGGTCACAAACAACCACTGCTTGGCACTGTTTATTGAGTATATCGCCGGGACGGAGGTTAAAATGAAGAATTAAATGGGAAAAAAATCAATGAACTCCTTGTAAATACTATAATTTGAGAGAGAATTAGTAAACATTTTAAGAGTCCGGTAACTAATACTTATTTGTGAAGTCGTGATTTTTCAAAGTTGTGAACTTCCATTGAGGTGATTTAAATATTCAGAAGCCGTATATGATTAACACCCTGTATATACATGCAAAATTGACACATTTTTTTTCTGTTTTAGCAACAAGGGAGATTGGACTTGTTAAAGAATATATTATTTCACATCTTGAGTCATGGCAAACCTCTCGGAAGAAGAGAAAGAGGCGTTAGGTAAGCAAGCTCTCATTTTTTTTAGAATCATGCCAATGACTTGCTTAAAAAGACATTATTAATTATTTCTGCAACGTACATTGTACAGAAATCAAAAGGTCTTTCGAGTACTTAGATGTCAATAAGGATGGCAGGATATCGTCAGCAGAGGTGGTGCGAGGAACCCAGATTCATGGTTTAAATCCTACAAGGAAAGAGGCTGACGAAATGATAGCAGAATTGGATACTAGTGGTAATTCATTAAAACCCCTCAAATAGGGAAAAATGCTTTATAATATACTTTAATTAGCTTAATTAAGCAGCTATTGTACATAAAACATTGTCAGTGTTGAAACATGTTTAATTATTATGAATGCTGGTAACGCTATCATGTTAATTACAGGCAATGGATATGTTGAGTTTGAAGAATATGAAAAGTTTATGAAAAAGGAACTGAAGAAATTGGATTATGAGCAAAAACTGTTCATGGACGCTTTTAAGAAATTCGATAAAGACGGAAATGGGTATGTGTCATTTGAAGAACTGAAAAAAGCTCTCTGTGGAACAGGGGACAGAATGTCGGACGAGGACGTGAAAATGTTTTTTGATGAAGCCGACCTGAATCAGGATGGTAAAATAGACTACAAAGGTAGGGATTTCCTGACAAATTTGTCCTTAAAATCAGGATTTAGATTTGTGTGGGTGTGTTTTCGTCGAGGGGAGGAATAGGGAGGGTCTACATGTATGCTCTATATACAGTACTACTGTCCATGCGTACATGAATAATATAGTCCTGTGCCCATTGACAACTGAAAAATGAGGAATTATTAAACAATAAATTTCGCTTCCAAATGCCCTGAAAAAGTTCAAGAAGACATATGACAGGTTGTAGTCATTTGGTGACATGCCAAATTATATGACTGAATGAACAAAAATTAGAACAGAAAATTATGAAAGTTGAGGGAGTCCATCTTCCCAAGTCAAGGGTTTCTGATGTGGAGCGGAGTGGATCAGAAACCTTGATTTGGGGAGATGGAGGATGCCAGACTGTCCTAGGGTGGTAATCCACATAGTACAATCTTCACAATGTTAAAAGTATGTACCCACAAAACTTTGACATCGAGAAGGTGTGTAAGTGAAAAAGTAACACGTTCTGCATGATCAGACGTTGTTGTATAAGTGGGAAAACGAACTCAAGGAAACTCTACGCCATCTTTTGCCGAAGAGGTGGCGTATTCATCAACACACCAATTAAGTATCACGAAATGTGTGATTGTTAAAAACTTCAAGCAAGGCCATTCATATTTTAAAAGGGTTAGTAAATACCAGATGGGGGTAGGAGCAGGGAAGAGGAGGTAAAAGAAAATGGAATGGGATCAGTGTAAGGGGGGGACAAGAAAGACAAACGGAAGGGAGAAAGGGGGGGGGGGAGTAGCTATCCCATTTAATTCTAAATGTCAGTAAAAGTAATGTTTAGTTCACCAGAAAAGAAAACATTGCAAAATGATAAGATTTATATATTTATATAAGATTTATATTATATCAAGATTTTTTACTAATTATAACATTAGTTTTCATTGATTACTAAAATGCTATTTTCTTTTTTAATTTCAGAATTCGTGACTTGGTTTTCAAGCGCGTAGCTTCCTGTGCATTAATAATCAAAAACGCACATACACCTCGACAATCTTATGAACTTTCATCGTGTTCATGGCATTGATATTAAAGATATAGGCGTTATTTCTTATAGAATTACGTGACTTGTGGACATTAACATTTTGAAGAATATTATGGCATGTATAAATGAATGCATACATGTACAACTATGCACTGTACAAAGGGGGCGGACCAGAACAATGCTGTTAGCATTTAAATCTCTGAGTTGTATTCTCTGATCGAGGATTAACTTGTGAATTTAAAAAAAAATTGATTTATCCATTCTTCTCATTTAAAAAAAACAAAACGCTAGAACGATAAGATGGTTTATTTAGCGTTACTCAAGCGAAAATAACATCTGAATAATTACATGTATTGCGTTACATAATATCGCCTTGCTAAGTATCTACATACAAAAAAAATATCAGATTTTTTAACAGAACACTAAACATGATTTTTTTTTCTATTAACCTAGTCTTGCAAATGGTAACAAGCCCTACCCTATTTTGATGATTTTTTTAAATTAATTATATGTACAGATTTTTTCCCTTGAACATACATTTGTAATGTTTTATTTTATAGAATAAATCAATTGTTAAAATAACATTTTTCATTTTTATTTTCTTTTTTGTCATAATCTGAAGATTTGCAAACATTTGAATAAACACTGTGTTTTGTCTTCATTATATATATTGTATATCGTTTCAATTGCCTGACAGACTAACCTAGACATAATTATTGCAAAACAGTTAAAATAAAAATAACACAATTATTTCTTATTTATAATTCCTGTTTCTTGATTATCAAAAAACAAAACAAAACAAATAATTAAAAAGAAAATAAATCAACAAAATAAAACACACATGAACAAAATAACTCTATCATTAGTATTGTAATGATAATTTATAATTCTGTTGAAAAAAATCAAAACACAAAGTCGTGTTAAGGCTATAAAAACGATGCATATGCATGTGTATTAGTGAAAAATAAGACTTGATGACACTTTGCATCCAAACCGCTAATACATGTACATGTATGAGTCACAAATTGTATAATTATCATGTTTTTCAAAGCAAAATGACCTTTAATGTTTATAACCCAGTCTAAAAAATACCATATAAACTACCTTCATAAATTTGTACGTTGTATAAAAACAGTCCATTAAATTTCAGACACATTATTTCTTCTAATTTATCAGGTGTTTGGAAATTCAAAACTCTGTGAAACAAACAAAAACCTCAGTCACAAAAAAGAGATATCCATAAAACAATACCCTGTACACTGAAATATATACATGTACATTGTACTAAGTAATAGAATATACATGTGAATCATCGCACTTCTTTAAAAGTAAACAATATAATTTATTACTTACGATTTGTCCCGCGGAATAATTGAGGTACAACATCTTCATAAGTCGGCGGTGGACTGGTGTTTGTTGGAGCGGGCACTGTGAAAAAGTAAATTAAAGAGATAAGAAAGTTCTAGAAGTGCAACAATGCCTTTTCAAAGTAATCTTTATACTGTAAAAGTACTTTACTTCTCCCTTTTCACTATCCTAAATAGTGCCGGTCCTTATAGCTTCTAAAACTTTCTCCATAATTGTGATATGTAATTTAACGGAATATGAAGCCCTCTAAAATTGCTTCCATATCATATTTACAATAGATTTTATAACAAAAGAAGTTTGTTTTCTTCTGGAAAATTATCCACGTTTTGGAGAAAAAACAATCCAAAGTGAATGAGATCTAACACTGCCAAATTACTACTAGGATCTCCTGTTAGAAAGTCTGCATTTTAAAGACATGAATTAGCATGATAGTTTCTATGCGAAAAAATACTAGTATTTAACTCACAAGACTGTTCAGGAGGTTTAGGTGCCTGAGGTTTGGGGGCTGGTTTGTGTCTCTTGAATTCAGGTTCGTCTGGAGTAGAAGCTGGCGCCTTCTTGCACTTTGAAGCAATACTGCTGAATCCATTGCTAAACAAATGTCAACCACCGATATTGTACAGTAAACAGAGTTTAATATATTAAATGTCATCCGGACAAGAGCATAAGAATGAAGCAAGAATAGATGCTAATGTGATAAAAACTTCAAATAGTTAACATAAAAAAACATTTAAAAAAAAGCATAATAACTATCTATAAAATGGTTACTCACCCAATTTTGCCCGCAAGTGAGGAAAATGCAGACTTGATCCCTCCCGGTAAATAGTAAAATAACATTCCGAACATGAGTAAGACAAAAGCAACAGATGCTGTCGCCAAAGGAAGGGCAACATACATGTTCTCCGGGTTGGTAAACATGGACACCATTTTCTCTGTTGTCGTTGTTGTACTGGTGGTCGTTGTAAGGACAACATTCACGGTAATCTGAATGGTGGAGTTTTTACCAGCTCTGTCAGAGGCAATGACTTTAAAAGAGAGAGTACTCCCGGAGCACATGGACGTCAGGAGGTCCTTCGTGTAGATGACGCCATTTTCTTTTATGCCGAAGAATTCTTTAGCCAGGTTGCTCTGGTCCAGTAAGTAGTAAATGGTGCCGTGGTCAGTATCAGAACCGTCACTTTCAAACGCTGTTACTTTTGCTACAGTTGTCAACATCTGGATGATGTGCAATAAAAAAAAGTTTGGAACTTATTTAGTAGAGTTTGATAATATTTAGGACAGCACATTTTTGGGTCCAAGAAAATTACTATATTAGAAATACTTTGCAAAATGACACATGACAATAAAGTTTATGTGTGTTCATGCTCACCTCAGCAATGCATTCAACATACACGGAAATGGACGACTGAGAAAATCTTGGTGCTGCCTCATTGTTATGCTCCACAGTTATAGACAATTCTGCCGAATCTCTCAGGCTTCCGTCAGAAACATATACTGTACACATAACATTTGTAGGGACCCCACTGGTATCTAGGTCATAGGCATTCTTAAAGTGAATAGACCCTGTAGAGGATCCGAAAGTAAATCGGCCAGTATCCGCTCCGCAGTCAAACTCGAACGCCACCGTATCTCCATCCGGGTCGTTGTACTTCCAGTGAAGGGTAGTTAAACTCTGCCCTGCCTTTAAGTCGAAATGAAATTTGGGAAAATACGTACTGAATTTCAGCATCATCATAGAACTCATTCCACTCAGTATCATCCGTGTTACACAGTAAATCCACAACCAGCACTACTAACACTACATAACAAGTTCCAACCACAACCACCAAGAGCTCTCCCAAAACAAACAATTTAAACGTGTTGTTTTTGATATTTCTAACTTGAATCAAGCATACCAAAACTTATTTAATATTATCTATACATAATACATGTACGTGTAATTAATTTAAGTAAAAATATTTCTGATTTGGGGATGAGTCATAAAAAACATTCAAGTGTATGTTAACTATATATCCAGTCTTCCTATAACTTTTATATTTGCATAAGTAAAAGCACTTTTTTCAAACTCAAGCAAATATTATTTTTAACAAACCGGTCCTTCTGTGGTGGAGACGGAATAGTATTTCTGTAGGAACACCGGACTCTCGTTCTCATTGACAATGTCTATGTAGAAGTACTCTGTATCAAAGTACTTTCCGTCAGAGACAGAGAGCTTCACTCGGTAAACCTTGTTGCTATCCTCCAAGTTTTCTCGGTCTATTGTAAACCAAGAAGTGGTCCTAAGCTCTCCAGCTTGGGAAAAAAAGAATATTTAAACGTATTAATAAGCCTGCTGACGTTCAAATACAGTCATGTAGTCAGATCATTATCTTGCATTTCTATTTCTTCTTAAATAAAGTTTTCTTATATAAGGAAAAGTTATCGTACTTGTTTTATCCAGTTCGAACAAGCTACTGCCTTCTCCATGAACAAAACTGGCAGAGAACGTTAATGTATCCAATGGGTCGGGATCAGTTGCCGAAAAAGTGTAAATGGACGTAGATGGCGCTGTATTCTCCATTACAGTCAAACTCTTGACGTTGGTCAAGACGGGTTTGTTGTTGATATCTGTGGAAATCAAAGAAAAATAATTTATTTGCTAAAATTTGCTAAGAACAAGAGTTGACAAATACACAGGTTGACATAATCTACTGCTATATAACGAGAGATCCAAAATAGTCAATTATACTAAATATAAGTTGACTTACTAACAATGGTGACAGCAATAGACTGTCCTGTAACAGTGTTATGACCAGAAGAGTCTTGTAAAGTCAATGCCAGAGTGTATGCACTGTGGGAATTGTGAAGTAAATTTGCATTTACCACCAACTGACCATCTGAAAAGACAATGTGTTTGGAGCAAGGCTTATCATCGATTTAAAAAGATGGAAACCTAAGATGGATGCAAGCGTAAAATGGCGCTACCTGTAGCAAAAATTTGATAGATTTAAGGTTATTGGTTGACCAATATTGATACATTTTAAACTTACTGTTCAGCAGAAGGAACGGACAATTTGACGGTGAGCACGACATGGTCAACCAAAGTTCGTCATTTTCTGGATCAGACGTGGATACTGTGAAGATGACGTCACCGATACTTGCTTGTTCAGCGTCCACTGTGACTTGCCCTGGATACAGTACCATTTTATTGATAAAATAAAATATTATCTCAGACAAGCGCTTCAATAAGGCATGAATAGTGAAAACTAAATAAATATATTTTTTCAGTTGTAAGTCTGAATACTCTCAGTGAGTGGCATGTGTGCTTAATTTAGAAGCCAAAATATTTTAAGATCTATTGTGTTTTGTGAGTCTTTAATTTGGCACATCCTGTTTTTAAATTCCATGACAACTGGAATTAAATAAAAATCTCTTAAGCGTTTTTATACAGATAATGATTATACTAGTATATTGTTTACTTAATAGAAAACGTACAGAAAGTGTTGTGAAACTGAGGGGGTTCGTTCCGTTTGATGCTGACAGTGTAGGTTCCCGTTGCCGTATTTGTATTGTCCGAACACTCCACTTTTAAATTGTATGTGTTTTTTGTTTTATATGCTAGCTGTGGCCAATCATACACAAATATGTCGTAGGCTGAAAAAATATATAGTGTTAAAAGTAATAATACTTTTATATATGAAGCAGTTATTAAGTGCTATTGGAGACAGAGAGAGAGAGAGATCGATCGAGAATCAACAAAGATGGTGTTCGACAAATATACATGTACAAACTGGAACGACTTGTAAAGTTTATTAATTCGATTCAAATGCCAATATTTACTTTTAACGGCACTAGATGTCTGTCTGCAGTGAAATGGACCCTCGCTGGGGTTAGCTATATCACAGTACACAGGGTCATTGGTGGAGGAGTCACTAGTCTGAACGGTGTACAGAGACTGCTGGGTTTCTGTGTCCTCCGACAGGTCCTTGTACTGGGCCCCAAGATTTGTAATGGAAAGAGGCTGTAAAATAAAGACGACAGGGTTAAGCTTGGTCTTGGCTTAACAGGGCCCGACATCTAAACACACACATTGTTACTACAACAAAATGCTCAGAATATTCTGTTGATGTATTTTTTTTCTTAGACAATTGTTACTACACTGTAGATGTGTATCACTCTTACTGCATTAGCTACGATTATCGTCAGTGTCCTTGAGGACTGTCGCATGCACGCATCCATTATGTAGAACTCCATGGTGTACGTACCCTCTGGTATGTATGCCGAATCCGTTCTAACCTCGACTAAATAAAAGAAAAGATTGATTCTTTTTAGTGTCCCTTAACCTTAAAACAATCAATGGAATTTCTTACACAAAACATAATTCTGATAGATTGACTTAAGAGACTGCAAGAAGAACGGTTCCACGAGTTTAAAAAATGCAGTGAAATGTGTACTTACGTGAGGAGGTATCCAAAACAAAGTACTTGCTGGAGTATAGTTTTTGTTCGATGAAAAGATCAGTATTCAGTGTTGTTTGGTCTAAGTAGGAATAGGTCACATCCGTGACCTTGGTTCCGGATGGATTGGAGTCTGTTATAGTGACTGGTGTCGCGAAGGTCAGAGTCGGCGTGGTTCCTAATGAAATGAGGAAAAAAAATTATGAATATAATGTTTAATTGCTTTAAATTCTTTATATAGCATCCTCAGGGACAAATCAAAAATATCCTCTTGACAAAAACATCACATTTTAGAAACCTCTGACCTTGTCTAAATCACCTTGACCTTGATTCAGGATCATAATACAGCTTCAGGTCATAAGCAAACTTACACAAACAATTCGTGTTACTATTCCATTTTGATTACATGTGACCTTGATCTTTCGCATATGACCTCTGTTTAGAGCCAGCTGATAAACTCTTTTTGTCAAACAAGAGATATCATTTCTCTATTAGAAAAAAATAACATTTAAAAACATTTTACCATGTCCTTATCCACATTAAAAGTGTAACCTAGCTCAGTTTGTTATTTAAATGAAACCAAATTTTTATTATGAGCTTGAAATCCATTTCCATCATAAAGATACAAAAACTTGACACTTCAGAGTCCCAACCTAATCCTCTTGCAAAAAGAAAAACATCATTCAGGGTAAAGCTATACGTCATCAAAAAACATTAAACAATTATGAAAAATAGACAGCGCTAGCCACTAGCCAGATATATTTTATCCCAATAAGCTTCGTCTTCTGGGATACTCGTATTAAATGTAATAACTACACGCTTATCTAAAAAATACATGTAAATTAAAAAACGAACCTGTAACAATATTGGCCCGTACACCAAACAAGATGTTGTACTGGGCACCGGAGGTACTGGACCAGTTGATGATCTTCTCTTTCTTTATGAGTTCTGGTGCAATACCAGTCATATACTTTGCCATGATGTAGTTTGATTCTGCCCCATAACCCAAAACTGCATCGCCGCTAAAATACCTTAATAAAGCATTTATTTATAAGTATATATAATATTTATGAGTATTACTTTTTAAAAATAAATTCAAACCTAAAACTCTTAAATCCTATATATATATATATATATATATATATATATATATATATATATATATATATATATATATATATATATATATATATATATATATATATATATATATATATGTCTTTTTTATGTGTAATATTACTGTGTAAACTTAGAATAAAGTGGATATTTGTACCATCCGATGAAATCGCCGTTTTGAATCTGCAGTGTAGGGTTGGATGTTTGGGTTAAGGTTGATCCTACATGTGTAAAAATATTAATCTTAATACATATATTATCATGAACAATACAATACTTCAAAACATTGATGCAACTACAAACCCCTTTACATTTTCTTGCAAATGTTTGAGGCCTTACCGACATCTGCAACCTTAATATGGTGCTCACTAACGCCCGAAATCATGAATGTGTTGTCGGGCAATCTATGAAAAACAACAAATTTGATGTCACCCGTTGTCTTTGGGCGAAAGGTCCAGCTGCTGATATGGCCACAGCATGAGGACATGAAATGACTGGACTCAACCATCCAGAGCGATCCTAAGGAAAATAAAAAGAGAAGAACGCTTTATTCCACAATTTATATGATTATTTTAAACTGTTCGTACTGTTGTGAACTTTATCTACAACACTTTGTTAAATCGAACCATTTTACATAAATCGCATGTTATCAAAATTATACAGGAAATTGTGTTTGAACCCGATTGTGTTAATGACATACCGATGGATGCTGTGGTGCTGGTGATTTGTGCTGGTGTGTGTGGTACGGGTGTTTGGAGTGCTGATGTGTGTGGTACGGGTGTTTGGAGTGCTGGTGATTTGTGCTGATGTGTATGGTACGGGTGACCTTTGGAGTGCTGGTGATTTGTGCTGGTGTGTGTGGTACGGGTGTTTGGAGTGCTGGTGGTTTGTGCGGGTGTGTGTGGTACGGTTGGTAGTGCTGGCGACAATGATGTACGTAAAATGTCGTTGATAAATTCGCCATAGTGCGGTTAATGTTTGATAAACCTCGGTGCGTTGAGCTGGTTGTGAAGTCGGAGGAACTGTAACTGTTTGGGTTGACACCAACAGTTGTCGTTGAACATCGTGGAAGCGCTGTAATATGGAAGAAAAGTCCATTAATCACTTATAGAAAGAAGCTCGTTTCATCTAAAATTGGTATTGTGTTTCTTTACTATTTTTCAAACAAGTTATTGAAAAAAATTCAATCAAAAACACCCATTGAAGTAGTAGAAGCTCGTTTCATCTAAAATTGGTATTGTGTTTCTTTACTATTTTTCAAACAAAAGTTATTGAAAAAAATTCAATCAAAAACACCCATTGAAGTAGTAGGTCACTGATGTCATTTTCATCTAGGGAATTTAGAATGGAAAATTAATATAAATGTAATGTCATTGTTCATATATTTGGCAATATTGGGAAAATACTGGGGGAAAAACAAGTTTTATGCAAAAAGAAAACTTACCTCCTAAATTTTCGAAAGCTTGATTAACAGAAATGAAAGAAATGATGAGAAAAACAGTCAGTTTTAAAAAATCCATGTTATGTTTTCTTTCCAAATTACAAACTAGCTCAACAAAGCTCCCAACAGGAAAAAAATAAATATTATATGTCATATATATAGTTATCGCTAGATGAGAAAACAATGATTGTCTTCGCGCTAAGTTGATTTTAAACAACGATTGATCAATTTAAATGAAAGGCAGTTTAAACACCTGTCATTTCAAGATATCAATTCTGTATAGATGTATAAAGATTCGTAAATCCAGAAGAAAGATTGTATGTCCAAATCTTGATTTTACTCTGTGTAAAAATCTAAATTCCATAATTATGAATTTAATTGGATAACTTCCAAAAAATTTTTTTTTCAATTTTGTATCACTCCGAAAGGGTTGAAACGAAAATTCAAACAGCATAAAAGAATGAGAAGGATAATATAGGCATCCACTGGTGCCAGGTCATTTTATTTTTCTACATAACAAAAAATGTTTAAAATCAAAAAACATAGTTTAAAAGTGTCATTAATGCGTCAGATATCAGTGTACATTTCATTAACGACCGATTGTACCCCTCTACCCCTAACATAATTATTATAATATACAGACACACAGACAGAAAAAGCAAAAACAATATGCCCCCGAATCTTTGATTACGAGGGCATAAAAAATACAATTTCCGGGGTTGTATAAAATTATCATAGGGTTTGGAGATGAGGTTGGGATGGGGGACTTCATCACGAGCACATTGGCTACAACAACTGGCATCAGTGTGAAAAGTAAGATAACTCTTGCCTATTCTCTCTCTCTCTTTTTTTCGACAAACCTGCAAGATATATAGCAACGACCATCCAGGGCTTTCATATTTCACGGGTGTATTCCTTGTGATAAGACCTTCCCTTGGATATCAACAATTTTGACCCTTTGACCTTGACCTTTGAGTTTGACCTACATTTAAAAAAAATTAACCTTGGTCAAAACATTTTTGAACCCATATTGCTTTAGTGCTAGAGCTTTCATATTTTACCTGGTGATAGACCTTCCGCTGGTTACCAACAATTTGATCCTTTTACCTCCTTTTGAAAAAACTTTAACTTATGGACAACAGCAAAAACAGTATTATCAATCTGTAAAGGTAAATTAACATCACCTCATAATAACAGATTTATATCAATAGTGACCAAGTCATCAATCAAATACAGGCGATTAAAAGGATTATTTCTAGCAAAAGAATAATTTTTACAAGCCCAAGGCCGTAACTACCATTGAGGCATGTGAGGCAAATGTCTCACTAAAATTTTTGAGTTTTCTTAAAAGTGAAAAAGTTTTACTTTGAGTTTGAATTAATGATGTTTGTCTTCGTTCTAAATTATTACTTCCAACTTTTGTTTCAATTTCTGTAAAATGATCATCTCACAACGTGCTTCATTATAGTTTAGAACGCATGTAAAAATAATTCAAAACGTGAAAACTTTCAAAGATTGTCTTTAACTTATTAAAACCCAGGGGTCCGTTTTACAAAAGAACTTACGAATGACCAAAAACTTTAGTGGATTGTAAAATTTTGCAAGTTAAAAATTACTAGCATCAAAATATCTTTCTAAATTCTTGTACAAAGAAATATTACAACCATTTTAAAATTAATGTAAGGTAGAAAGTTATTTGCAAAATTTCATTTCGGTCTTAGTCGTAGGACACCCCCCCCCCCCCCGAGAATCCCCATCAGGCCCCAAGACCATAAACTGAGAGCAGACTTAAGTCAAAATTAATTTCAAATTAGTATAACTTTTGAAATAAATCCCAAAATAAAACAAAATTTCCATTATCATTAGATTATATCCACTCAATATTTACTCTCTTTATTGAATAAAATTGAATGAATGTTAACAAGCTACATACAAAAAAACCATGCAACAAAGCCATAAGTGAGACTCGGTCATAATTGCTTTTAACACTCTTTATTTCATTGAAATACCAATTTTATAAAAACTTATTGTGAGGTCAATCTTAGCCCAATTTCGATGATTTTTTCAATGAATCATGCAGAATTGTTCAAATTTTATTGTCTTAAAATGCTAATTAAAACAAAATGGTACACTATTTATGAAAACGTCAAGACAAAAAAATTAATTTTTTATGTGATTTAGTCATAAAAAATGAGCAACAAATAACACTGCAATTATATATAGTGGAAAAATAAAATTATGGCGCACTTATGGCTAGGTACTGTACATTTCAGCTTACGAATCACTCGATGATAGATTTACTTTTGACAACAGTTTCCGGTTTGTTAAGCAAGGGATGTAACTCACGACTATGGTTTGAAACGAAAACGTAAATAAGAAAATTTTACCTTTCTAGTTTATTTGATATCATTCTGGCTGGATTAAAATGCCAGCTAAACAAAGAAGAGTAGCTCTGATGGGCTTCAGATCGGTTGGTAAGTGTTAAAATAATTGTTTGGAATATTATGTAGCTATCGTGATCAAGCATGGCTGTATGTCAAATTGTTTGTAAACAAATAAATTTCATCACCAGGTATCATTTGTTGAATGAAAAGAAGTAACAAAATATTTACAAAGGAGAAAACCAAGAGAGCTGTTACCATTAAATTCCAACAGTATTTTGCTTTCGCGACTATTTATGCGATTGCATGTATACGTGGTATTTTTTGATACATGTTGTGTGTCTTACACTCTCTTTTTAAAAATCTCTTGTACAGTTTGACATACACTGTACGTGTATGTAATGGTAATCCGTGTCATTTTCGGAAACAGAGACGAAGAAGAATACACATAATCACAATATGTCTCAATAATTTTATTTTTAACAGGTCCAGCACAATCTTTTGATTTAGCTATATAGCTTGAATTGGCTAAAGCCTAAATGTATAGCTTTATTAAGCTATTCAGAATAATTTGCTAAAGCTATATATATATATGTATTTTTCACAAAAATGTTTTTTTAAAGAAATAGACAAAAATTCACAAGTCTTTGACTGTTCATATAATTACATGTATCAAAAGAGCAACCCAACTCAAAGATAGTTCTAACACTGCAGCTTTGAATAGTTTAAAGCAAAAGATTAATTTCTATTGTTTCAATAACTGTACACCACGTTTTCTGCATTGAGGTCAATAAGGTGTAGATAAGTATGATTGCTTCACATTGTGCAGAATTTTGACCAATCATCTTGTTGACCAGAATTGATCTCCTTTATAATTTCTATTTGTAAGTTTGTGGTCACAAATCAGTTACCTTATATAGCCCCAAAACTTTTAGAACTTTGTGTACAAAATCTGTCAAGGAGATGCAATTTGATGAACGATTTTTACATGCATTGTCTGCAAAAGAGTTCAAAGTTGAATACTGTCACTGCACCAAGGTGTGACTTTTTGTACATAATGAAAAAACACATTTAAGAAAAAAGTGTGATAAAATAGCTAAATCAAGCTATTCTAAATAGCTTAGTAAAGCTATATAGCTAATAAAAGGTATATAGCATAATCAAGAAATTGTACCAGACCTGTTTAATCTGACAGTGTAAACTTTTGTTAAAATTTGTCGATCTCCTATATATAATTATTCATTGCTTTGACCTGCATAAAGTAGCATCTGCCTGATATAGACCCTCAGAATCAAAATGATATTTCCAGGTGTTTTAATTGTTGATAGTGGTAAAAATTCTGATCTCAACATTATAACAAGAGCAAGATATGTTTGTATCCTCACTTGCTAAAGCTATTATATGTCTAAAATAAAAGAATGAAATGCTTTGTAATATTGGAATTAAACTGATCATGGTAATCCCAAACTATTTATGGTAACTATATAGACATCAAATAAAGCAAATGCATCACGTAGTTGATTTTAAATCACATGCATACCTATTACCCGAAGTCATAACACAAAAATACTGAGACATTGTCAAGATATATGCCTTTATTCCATTGAAATTTTTCCTGAAGGAGGACAAAGATTTGTTAATTATTTTGCTTTTTTTTGTACAGGAAAGTCATCAGTCACAATCCAGTTTGTCGAGAATCATTTTGTAGATTCTTATGACCCAACAATTGAAAACAGTAAGTGCCAGACACATGAAATACATATGATATACTAGAAACTGTGTGGACAAGTGCTACATTTTACATATGCATGTAGATTAAGATCATGTATAACGTACCAAATCTGTAAAATTTCTCAAATGAAATAAATTTTCACTCTTAGGACACCTGTAAAATACTGTGTTAAATATTTTTATCATTTGGGGTCTTAAAGGTGGAAAACAAATTGATGATACCTAGTTGTAGAATTATTTTAGAAATGTCAAAAAAGTCAAGAGTAAATGTAAATAAAGTTAAGAAAATGACCCGGACACAACTGATAATGTTTCGTTACATGTATCATCAATTTTAATTTGTGAAAAGTGCTTGCAGAACATAATCAGTATGATCAATGAAGATATCTTAAATTTTTGTTGTTTGCAGAGTGTATACATAAGCACTACTTAAACATTAAAAAATAAACCCAATATACAATAAGTATTGTTTATATCCAAATTTGAGGTCAACCATCCCTTTAGGACAAGGTCAACTAGATAGATATCAGTTGTGTATTTAACCTCATTTGACCAAAAGGAGAAATGATATTTCTCATCTAATAGGTAAATGTTTATCAATGACTGAAAGATCACTTTGACATAAAAATACTGTTAAGGTTCACAAGGTGCCTTTTGTAGATCTTGTAGAATTCCAGAAAAAAGACAGTATTAATTTGATTTAAATGAAAGTTTTACACCAGGCCCTATGACTGTAAATGTAATAAATGCAGCTATTTTCAATTTATATCATTCATTGTCATGAAGTTTTCATCTGAAATTTGCAATACTTTAATTTAATAAATATAGAGCATCTTGAATCAAAAGTTTACATGTACAATTATGTAATAGGTGTATTGATTTATAAGTATTTTTTTTTTTTTACATTCTTTGAATGCCCCCTGCTTTTCAAGATTGAGAATTTTACTATATTGAATTTTTTAGAAGAACATGTTTAAATGAGAACTGTTCTTTAAAATTCCAGAAATTATTTGAATCTTGAATAGGTATATATATTAAAATATGTATAGCAGCTGACAAGCAATTGATGTGTAAATTTACAGGACCTATATCATGTTTATGTATCACATCACTTGATTCTGCAATAATTTTTACCCCATGATAGTATAATTATACTATGGGTTAAAAATTTATTACAGAAACAATACTATGTTAGGTATGGTAAAGGGATTGTATCTCTGTCAGTTGCATCATGCTGTTAATTTTTCATTTTGTTCTTTCTCTCTTAAAAGCTTTCCAAAAGACCCTCAAAATCCGTGGACAAGAGTACTCTCTGCAAGTGATTGACACAGCTGGCCAGGTTAGAATTAAAAGAAAACATGTTTATTGTTTAACATGATTTTCTGTTTAATTTAATAGTTTTACTGAATGTGTTTGAATTATTGAATATGAAAGATCTCGTTTTTTTTTAAAGTAGGTACTGGTACATTTTAGCTAACTGAAAATTAGCTGGTACTATTACATGTATACTATTACACTGGATAGCATTGGTTAATACTGTGGACATCTTAGGTTAAATGCAATAAATATTTGGCATAAGCAGTCATAATTTATAAACTTAATGCAGTGGATAAGATTACTGCTCGAAAATATTCTTTAGCAGTATAATTGGTAGCTCATTTAATCCTGTGTGCATCAAAGTTTATCATGTTTATCTTTAAGAGAGAATATAGTGACATTTAAAGTATTGACAGCTAATTAATATTTACAGTTAATTAGAGCTGACATTTTAAAGTAAGAACACATTTCCTAGAAAACACGTTGTAAACACATTTTCTTTTAACCTTGGTTATTTGTAGGATGAGTACTCCATTCTGCCCCAGTCTTATTTTGTGAATATAGATGGATATGTATTGGTATATTCTGTCAATTCTAGGAAAAGGTAAATGCACACACAAACACTCACACAAAGTATTTTGAAAGGGTTATATTGGAATCACCATGTTCTGTCTCTCTTTCTAGGTTCTTGTAAAGTGTACAGGCAGATTTACCTCAACGTTTTTCGTTGCATACGTGCAACATCATGATTTAAAATGTACTCTTGCTTTGTTTTGTATTTAAAAAAATAAACTGAAATAGAAAAACACATTAGCAGTGATTTATGCAATTTATTATAAATTTTGACTTCAAAATATTTTATTTTCATTTCTCTATTCTTGTAGAACAACACACACTTAACCCTTTGGGTACAGTCAATATTGTCCTTCACAAGTAGCTAAATTATCAAATTAACAGTATGCAAGTCTGTAAATATTGTATAATATCAGTTAATAGAAAGGACCTTCTGTTGATAACAACATGTTATTTTCCACACATTTTTACTAAAATATCCATGTTTACAAAGTTTCCCTACATGAATATTGAAATGAAGCATATTTAATATTTTTTAATTGGTATTTTACATTGTTGTAACTTAATTTCACTTGCTTTAGATCATTTCTATTTTTTTTTCTAGCTTTGAGGTGGTGAAGTTTGTCTATGATAAGCTCTTGGATATGAAAGGAACCATCAAGTATGTACCAAACAAAGTTTTGCACTGATTATATTCAACCCATTTTTTGACAAATAGTTGCATCACTTTATGTAGGAATTCTTTACAAATAATAGTTTATTTCACAATTAAATGAATAGTAATAACTTTATGTGGTACATTGTAATTATAAATATCAGGCTATAACAATGTCCAGAAAGTGAAGATTATTTGTACGTTCAGGTATTTCAAAATATTAGAATTGAAAAACTTTAGCTAACTATCATGAAACTCCAACTATATACATCCACTTATACTTCACTTATTCTCTTCCAGTGGTGTACCAGTAGTATTGGTAGGAAACAAATGTGACTTAGCCACAGAAAGGTATTATATTGATTGGTCTGAAAAAATCCATACAATTTTCATGTTCCAGTATAATTTCATTTCTCTTTATACTACTTTTTTTTTTTATGGTGGATACATTTTTTTTTAAACTTCATGACTTGGGGTGTTATACAAAATTGTGGTGTTTGGAAGCTTTGAGTCAAGGCTTTGATCACATTTTTTGCAAGAAATACATACATTGGTGTTCTTTCTTCTTCTGGAAATAAGGGTACTCATAACTGTTTTAGTTGTAAACAAATTACTCAACTCTCTAATTGAAGGGGTGATATATATATATATATATATATATATATATATATATATATATATATATATATATATATATATATATATATATATATATATATATATATATATATATATATATATATTGATATTGATATAATCATTAATTTGCTAGCAAGAACATGTAAGTTATATCATCAAAGTTTAAAAATGATCTCAAGAAAGACATTGCTTTTATAGGGAAGTGACTTTTGAAGAAGGAAAGAGATTGGCAGATAGCTGGAAGGTATCCTTTCTGGAAACATGTGCAAAGGAACATCATGTAAGTACATAATACATGTATATTAACAGTGAGTTTAAGGTTCTTTAAAAAGAATGTTTAAATGGATTCTATTTCGCAAGTTTCACTGAAAAAAAATATGGCCTACATTTATATTCACCTCAAATGCTATTGACAGGCCAGTATTATTGAAAAATGTTGATTATAACTTTATAAATTTCCTTGATATCTGATAGTTATTTATTTTGTCAAATGGTTTATTACTGTCAGAGACCTATATACTAACGGGATAGGCAACTCCTTCAGCGCCATGTTTATTTACCCAAAGCGTCAAACACAAAACTGCAAGTTCTTCAAACTACGTTTTTTCCCAGTAAAAAGCTTGTTTTCTGATTAATGTAATCTGTTCTTTTTGTGTATCAGAATGGATATTTGATAAATTTTAAAGCACATATTATAAATAATTTAGATATTAAGTAAACAACCACCAAAATCGGCGATTTCTCGGAAATACGGCGGATCATGGGCACGCTCTGATTTTTAAATAAACGTAATTACTACTAAGATAAGGAGTAAAAACAGTGCTAATAACAAATCTTGAATAATTTTTTGATAGATAAATTAAGGTTTTATTCTGAAATAATTGATAGCAAAAAAGATATATTTAATTAAAATTGACTTACGAAATCCCGCAGCTTACAAATTGCAAATGTGAAGAATTATAAATCATAAGATAATCATTGCATAAGATTTTATAAATCATACATTGCATAAGATATAAGGGAAATTGTGTTTTTGAATATAATTTCTTTTGTTGATCTAAGTCAAAAGTTGCTTGTACATGTAGTCTGGTGACTATCATCTGTTAACTTTAAACATTTTTGATTTCTGTTAAAAAATCAGGGGACCAGTTTCAACTAAACTTGCTTGGGTGAAGTGCTTTCAAATTTATTCAAATGAAGAGCCCCTCTTTGAAGGGATGTTAATTGCCCCCTGCTTTCACTGAAAGGGGGGGGTATTAATTTTGTTTGGTCTGTCTGTGTCTGTCTGTCATTCTGTATGTGTGTAACACTATCATTTTTAGATGATATCTCAAAAAGTCTCTGAGCTTTTGCAATGAAATTGTATATCACAACTCCCTGTGGCCTAAGGAAGACCCCTATTGCTATTGAGGTCAAAAGTTCAAGATCAAAAATTCATACATTGTTTAAAAAATTGGTTTCCAAATGACAACTTTAGTTTTCTTTGAGCTTTTATCAATGAAATTTTATATCAGAACTCTCAATGTCTGAAAAAAGACATATTATATTGATTTTGAGGTCAAAAGGCAAAGGTCATGATCAGAAATTCATACACTCTATATGTGTTTAACACTTTTATTTCAGTATCTCAAAAAGCCTTTGAACTTTTGCAATGAAATTTTATATCACAACTCCCTGTAGTGTAAGGAGACCCCTATCAATTTTGAGGTCAGTAGGTCAAAGGTGAAGGTCAGAAATTTATACATTGCAAAAATTGTTTCCTGGTGATAACTTTTGTTCTCTTAAGTTCACGAAAAAAAGAAAAGGGTGGAAGGCCTCAAAGAAATAAGGATTTGCATGGGAATTTTTTACCATTAGTCAATATAACTAATTGATTTTTATGCCAAAAGGTCAAAGACCAAGGTCAGAAATTCATATACATGTATTGCATAAATAGTTTTCTTGTGATAACTAAAGTTCTTTGTTAGCTTTTGCAATGAAATTTATGGGCATGAATTTCTTTAACCTAAAAAAAGATGTCTATTGACTTTAAGGCCAAAAAGCTAAAAGATCAAGGTTGACCTTTTTTCTTTCTCCATCTGCATTTCTTTGAGGCCTTCCACCCTTTTCTTTTTTTTCATGAACCAGGGTACACAAATTCCCTGAATCAGCTTATTAAGAAATAAGATGGGATCATTAAAAAATATTTCCTCAAGAACCAGTGGGCCAGAAAAGATGACATTTATGTCAAAAATCGTCTCAACAACAGCTGTGCCCTGATAAGTCTAGCATCCTTTATTAGTGCAAATTCAAGTTTGTTCAAATCATGGCCTTGAGAAGTGGGGTGTTAAAATTTTCATGGGAGTAAAGGGATTGGGGGAAATTTCTTCTGAAGAACAGTAGAGCCAAGGTTACTCAGGTCAGATGAGCCTTATGGTCCATGGAATTTTTTTCTTAAATCGATTCCTTTTTTTTACAGACTGTGACAGAAGTTTTCACTCAGATTATCCTCGCCATTGAGAGAGCAGAGGGAAATAACCCTGACCAGAATAAGTCCTGTGTATTATCTTGATGATAATAATGTCAGTGACTTCTTTTAATGCATTGTAATCTTATGGAATGAAGAACTTATTTGTATTATATAATTTTCAATTGTACATATAAAATTGTAGATGTTTTTGTGTAAGGCGAGTGCATGACATCTCAGGTTAAAATATTGCATTGTGAATTATTTTTATTCTCTGATTTTAAACACATAATTGTTAGAGTTTTAGACTTTGAAGACAGTAGGGAAGAATTGTTCTGTTCACATATTATTTAATGTTACAACACTGTATTTGACTTGTATACTTTTACATCATGTATTGAATATATAATTATATGAATGAAATTGTATTTTGATGCTCCCAATTCTACAGACAGTATGATCAGTGTTTTTTTTTCATTGATTGGAAATGATATAGTTCCTGAAAATTGTTTGAAACGTAGATCATTATTAATTAACATTACTTTGAATTTTTCATTTGTATGTCACATAATTCAGCACCATGCAAGTTTTAGTGAAAAAAAATGTGAATTATGAATTTTCCATGCAATAAAATGAAAACAATTTTGATTGCATTTCTTCATTTAACAGTTGAGAAATGCTAAGGATGTTGTTTTGAAATATACATATATAGTTGATATATTTTGATATGGCCTTTAAGGGAAATGTAGCTATCCTACAATGTATTAACACAGGTACTTGTGGACAGGACCCCCCCCCCCCCCCCCATATTCAACCCCGGGGCTTGTTGGACATTTTTTCACAAATTATATTTATTACACTTTTTCATCATGTGTACCTTAGGAAAAAATCGTGAAAACCCCAAAATAATCGTTCCACACAAAAATACCTCATTATACATTATAAGAGAGAAATGTATAATGAGGTGTTTTTGTGTGGAACGATTATTTTGAGGTTTTCACGATTTTTTCCTATGGTACACATGATGAATAAGTGTAATAAATATAATTTGTGAAAAAATGTCCAACAAGCCCCGGGGTTGAATATCGGCCGGGGGGGGGGGGGGGTTGTTCCTGTCCACAAGTACCTGTGTGTATTAAGAACCCTCTCTACACTGCACCCTAATTTTAGGGTACTTTTGTGTAATTAGACAGACCCATAATTTGACACACACAAAAAATGAATTATAATCTGCATTCTATGACATAATTTAAAATAAATTCAAGTATTCTACACATTATATTAGACCAAGATAGAGTATTTGAAAACTTTATTTGCTTGGATTTTCTCCATTTGAGAAAGCAAAATCAATTTTTCAAGATTATTACTTCATTGTCTTTGAAGATTTTTCCTGGATAAAAAAGGCAGGCTCCCTATATTAAAAATGAATTAGTTAATTTCAAAATATCCTCCTTTAAACTATATAATTTTGGCAAAGTCTAAAAAACATTTTTCATTAGTGTATAGAGGGTCCTTAATCCATTTATAAGACAGATGCTTTAACCTGATCTTCGTGTGATAAGTAATCTCCTCTCTATATGGACCAGTCCAGGGCTAGTATGGCTAGGTAGACCGATATAGAACTCAGATGAAGTATTCATGTCTATATTGGTGTTCCGAATGAGAACCTCTTACCTGCAAAGCACATAAGAAATGCTGCCAATTACCTGATATAATGCACTTTTCAATCTGTATGGTACTTTTAATCTGAATAGTGCATATTTTTGACGACACGCTTATCAATTCGGTATTAAAATTTCATTGCTTGAAGTGATGGAATAGATGTATATAGATCTTTACCTGTATCCTAATTGGTGGTATAGATCAATTCGAGGTTGGAAGTTTTAGGATCAAGAGTAGTACGAGGGTTGATCCGAAAGTAATGCACAACTGCTATAAAATCTTTAATAACCAAATTTTTTTTCAAAATTGAACATACTTATACCCCGTATATATTTTGATTTTTGCCTTAAACAGTTAAAATTCCATTCGATTGTATAAAATACATTTTAAAGTATTAAGATAAACGCATCTTTAGGTTTTGTCTACCGCCGCACGTCAAAAATGTTACCGACGTCGTTACAAAAATGTATGACGTTACTTTTCGGCACTCATTTGCAGTTCATCGGCATATCTTTTTAACCTCTCACGTGCTTCTTTTTAATATTCTTTACTGCCATTTTGCTCAGTATTAACGGTCTTGTTTTCACTTGTAGCATTAAAATCATTTGAACTTTTTCCAAATGTTATTTCTAAAGTCATTCCTTTTGGCGTAAATCTTATGATACATCAGATTCAGAATGAGTGTCGAAGAGAAACGTCATAACGACGTCGGTACATTCTTGCTGTGCGGCGATAGACGAGACCCAAGGTTGTGTTTATTTTAATATTTTATAAAGTTTTGCATATATCTTAATGAAATTTTCGGGCAAAAATTAAAGTAGATAGAGGTAGTAGTATATAAAGTTTTGATGAATTCTTTTTCGATTATTAAAGATTTTATATAGCAGTTGTAACATTGCTTTTGTATCACCTTCGTACATGTATAATGAATCTGTGTTCAACTTTTAAAAAAGTTCTTATTTGAAGAGAGGAATGAAGATGAATGAAATATTAAGAAAATTACATGTTATTAACATTCCAAAGACATAAAAATATGTTCAACTTTAAGTTCCTATTTGAAGAGAGGAATGAAGATGAATGAAATATTAAGAAAATTACATGTTATTAACATTCCACTGACAAAGACATAAAAATATATGTCAAGAACAAAGTGATGGTATGTGAAGTATGCTTTAAGATGCTAGTATGAATGTTTACATGCATTCACATGTATCTAAAGTTTTATTAAATGCTAATTATAAAAGGAACACAAGTTAGTAATGAAAATTTCTCATTTATTTAAGGCTCGTTTTACAGGCTTTTTATAAAAGTTTCTCTTTCCTGGGATCTTCAGACTTGTACCATATTACACAGTACCTGCTAAAGATAAAATATGTTACTATGGGTACTGCGCAAAATTTCCTTAATATATGTAATTGCATCTAAAGGACAAAAACAAAAGGACAATGAAATTCAATCAAATAATCGTCGCTTAATCTCTCAAAAAAAAATGCTATATACCAACTTTATTTGGAAAAAAAAACTTGTTTTTGGTGATTTTATAACAATATACGAGTATAGGCATCATTTTGCTTTCGCCATATTTTTACCTTAACGTCTTGTCTTTTTTAAAGCTGTTTAGATCGATTAACTTGTTTACGGTGAAAAAAATTGCTATTTTTTACTTCTTCGAAGGTTAGCCGCACATGAAGGTAATTAATTAACAGTTTAATGAAAAGATTTTAAATACAATAGTAAATACTCTTTTCTATCATTTAGTATAATTTACCAAGTTTATTTCGTCAAAGAAAAATGGCTGGCCTTGAATCATTTTTTGGAAGATTCAAACAGGCCTACTCACCACACTTGGAAACACCGCATGATTCAACATAGTGAGCATTCTCCTGAATGTAACAGACTGGCTCATTTATGCCGTAGGGTGCGAAGTAATTCCTACAGTAGTTATTCCCGGGAAGAAAATCGTAGAACTTGGACCACATCAGGCACTGCTTCCCAGAGACAGTAACACTAACCGTCCCATGGTAGTTTGAGCCATCCGCCTGAAAGCAGCTCTCATCTGTAATTAATCACAATAAGCACTGTTTCACAAAATAAAGGGTTAATTGCTAGCTTGGTGTATAAAATCACAATTATACATCTATATGGTATACGTGTCTGTACGAGTCGATTTATGATAGAAGGTAACTAGATGTATTTCCATACTCAACACTCGTCGCTAATCCCCCCCCCCCCTCCCCGGCCTCTCCTTTCTCTTGGTGTTTCAGCTCCAGGTGCATCATAAATACTTGAGTATATATATCAGTCGGAAAGAATAGGGACAGGTCCTGTCCACCATAGCATTAGATCATTAAATACACTGTATATAATTACAATTTTGAGAGTATGAAAGGGAAATTACTTTTTTCAGATTAAGAAAGATGGCGTTTACCTGGAATCATGGCGGTGCTGTTTGTAGCTGTGGAACCGCTGCTTCCGGTATCAGACCCGTCACCTCCAACACAGAGGTTGTCTGAACACGTTGAACCACTTGGACAAGAACTGCATGGAGTTCCAGACACGTACGGTTTTTGGCCATTGTAATTTCCACTGATTCAAACAAGCATAATAATGACAGTTAACTTTCATAACAGTTTACATTAATTTAAAAAATACAGAGGAATATTAGTCTTTTGGTCAAGTCAATGAGTATGAATTCTGCACAAAATTTTCCATCTAAAATTGCTAAATGTACATGTATCACTATGCATAAAAAAGAATTCTTTGATGCTTTTAGGCGTATGATTATGGTGGATTGACCTGGTTAGGGGCACTGGGATTCAGACTGCACGGTATCCCCTTACGAAGTTAATCTTTTATAGAAAATTAAAATTATATATTTCATACTTGTGCATGTAGCAGAGGAAAGTATTAGTTTCACTTACACACAACAGGGTCGAAGCAAAGAAAGTATAAATCTTTTGAGTTGATTATTTGTCTATCATAGCACAACAATTTAGAAATAAATAACAAGTTTAAAAACTTCTCTGGGAAATGAAGTGGGTCGGTCACGTGATCAAATCCTGTGAAGGCCGAAGGCCTTCTCAGAAGATTTGATCACGTACCGACCCACTTCATTTCCCAGTGAAGTTTTTAAACTTGTTATTCATTACTTATATATACATTTGAGACGGACAATCGAATATAAATATTGCACTAACTGTTCGACGTAGATTTTTTACAAATTACGCAAGGTGTAAATCGGCTTGAAAAGCGGTTACGCTTCAAATTCATCTGGCAAAGGATTCTGTTTTGAAGGGAATATTTTGTGAAAGGATACTTGTGATCAATTATAGTGAGCAAATTGGTGTCTTGGAATTTTTGTATTCATGAGAACCCATATTCGATGTTAAAAAAACACAAGAAAAACGTCCGATGTTTGTTAATAAAAATTTGGAGGAATTTCGGTCGGATAGGGATAGATGGAGACACTTTTCCGGACCAGTCAACTTGAAATCAAGTATAAAATTTGATCAGAAACATAAAATCTACGATTTCAGTAAGGCATATTTATTATGAAATTGACAAGGAGACACTGGCGACAGCTTACACTGTTAAAACGATCTCGATGATGGAGGTGTGCCTACCGAACTTCCAAAGTCAGCTGCATGTTTGTGACGTGATCGCATTGCATTGATATTTTCCAACAGATTTTCAAATTTATTGTGAGTAAAGTTTAATGAAAAAAAAATATATAGCATTGAGAGGTCTAGCCTACAAGAAAAATAAGGGTAAACGTTGAGACTGCAGCTCAGACATGAAACTTATAACACGTAGTTTTCTATTCTCTATATAAAATAGATCAAGAACTGTATTAAATACTCGTTTACATTGTAAATAAAATTATTATTATTTTACTTGCGTATTTTGTACATTTTTATACATTAAAAACATGCTATATTGCACTATAAGTAGAGTAAGTCTTTTTATGTAGATATTACTGCGCTGTGTGATTAGGTCACGTAATGACCCATGACCTTCGAAAAACTTCATACAGGTATTTGCTCTCTGTATGTTTATACAATAGAGAGATACCACAAATGTATATACTATTAAATGAAAAGTTGGGCTAGATGAAGAGTCACCCCTCCCCCTTTCTGCTTCACAGGTAACGATATTTTAATACAGAGTATATTGGAAAAGTTTTGCCTGTGCCCACAGTTAGTCGAGATCTGCAAAGGACTCTAGGAGTAATTTCTACTCACCCCTCTCCATAATTGCAAACCACGATATTTCCACCATTAAAACTCGAAGGTAGGCCATTAAATGTTTCACATGTGGCTGAAGCACATCCAACATACTCCGTGTGGGCCCAGGCCACCTTGAAAAATTCAATACATTTTAACCTCAGGTAATGGAATTTGATGTAAATTATTAGTACTTAAAACATAATGAAGGGATAGATAAGAAGAGGATTCTTGAGATTTACCTGAGTAAAATGCCCACACACACCGGAACATTCCATTGTGTCGTAGTTGTACACTGTCTTTTCGTGGTCCCAAGATTCCACAGCAGAACTTGGATTCACGGATTCTTGAAGAATACAGATTTGAATATTATCATACATGTGTAATTGGTTAAATTAGTCTAAGTTCTCTTTTCGCCGAGAATCTACCTCAGTATAACAAACTGTTCAAGATTTATTGAAAATATATTGGAGTTGCTTAACTGTCTAATTCATTTTTAACTTATCTTAGATAGAAAGAGGATCCTTGCAATATTCATGTAAGCATATTTATTTAGTGTTATCAATTATTTATTGAGCTTACTGGATGACGTTGCAAACAGGTTTTCGCCAACATAGCTGAACTTCGATGTAAGAGCTTTTGTGTCCTCGGTTCTTTTGGAGTTGTGTGCCCAGATACACTTCTGGGCATAATTTTGTGCAACCTGGGCTAATTCATTGCTCCATTTCTGTAAAATGATGAGGCATATTTCTCTTTTTTTTCAAAAAAAAACCCCAAATGGTTGAAAAAATGTAAAATTAAAAATATAATGTGCACATATTTTTGATGAATATTTGTGGACCCACGTTGTGTTTTAATATTTGCGATCAACTTTGTTTTGATGCTATCTTTTCCATATTCCTGTCATGCCTTGCAAAACGTATAAACCATATCCCCTCCCTTCGATACCACCAAGAGCAATTTACCAATTTTTTCATGTTTGCTGCAGTTGGGCTGACAATTGACCTGGCTGTATTATGGGCATCTAGATACTCCTGTTGTTCTGATGTTTGCCGCCTTTTACGAAGAACTTTCTTCACGGTCTTAACTTTACCCGCTGGATTGGATATCTGAAAAGAAAGAATCAAATATATACAATATTATATACATACAAAGTATTTTAGGACTTTTTATCCCAATCTGAGTACTATTTTATATTAGGTTAAATTTTGTTATTTCATTTTAAAGTACTAGTCTTGCTTAAAATTTTGAATTAAGATCTTCCAGTATGAGCTCGAATGAACGCAGACTGACCAGATCATTAAAGGATATTTCTTTTAAGAAACGAATTATTTTTACGAATTTGAAAATTGATTCAGAATTAAGAAACATATTTACCTCTAGATTTAAACCATGCAGTATTCTTGCATCTCGAACATGTACTTGCTTTTGGTCCTTAATTTTGATTGCAAATGGTTTCTCCTTGTTGAAGAACGTCTTAGAATAAGAGGTATCAAATATCAGAACCGTAAGGATAGTGGCAAAATTTATGACGAGCTTCATTTTAGCCGGAATTAAACCATGTGAAATAAATGCTTAGCATTCAGCTTTAGCTTTATATAATTCGCTCGCCCATTAATATTTTGTAATTGATTTATTTGTCAATCGTGTTAAAACAGAAAAATGCTACTTATTGATATTTTTTAATTAATATAGTACAGACAAAGAAGAAAATGAATTTTATACAAAATATCATTTTAATTGAACACCGCCGCTGCAATCTTTGAAAATATGGAGTTTCATGATGCATCTGCTACGATAATTATTTTCCAATTTGTTCAGCTGCTTAAAAAAACAGGAAAAGGGCAGATGAATGTCGACTCTGTTTTGTTTTTTTTAAAGTCCACATTTCATTATAACAATGATTTACATGTAATTATAAAGTTGGAAAAAAGTTGTCATAAGTTGTAAATAAATAATTAATACGACACTTTGATTTTATTTTTATAGCAAGGGAGTGCATTTTTTATTCCTTCTTAACTATCTTAATTAATTATACATTGTCAAACTAACCATCAATACGTCAATCGGATTTATTTTAAGATTTGTTAAACAATGCGGTCATCAGATTTTTTTCTTTTAGGTTAAATGACTGATTATATTCTGTCATAATACAACCTGCATTATTTTTCAATCATGTACACCAGCAAATTGAAAATAATCCTTATGGTCATAACGCTTGATGTCCGAGTAGCCACCATCTCCCAGTTTAATCCCGATTTTTTTTTTAATTTAAGTTCCGTATATTATCCTAACATATAAAAAAAAACTTATATCCTAACATATAAAAAACTTACAAACGATTAAAAAATATTTTCTATTAAGTGTCTATACTAGCATATTTAAATATATATATAATTTTGTACTTTTAGGTAATTAGGTATAAGGAAGACACCTGATAGAAGAGAGTTGAAAAGATCGAGGGTTCTGATCTTGCACAAATAAAATATTTATAGTTTAATGTTTAAATTTTTAGCAAAGGGCAATACTATCCACAAAACTTTCTTATGTTACGTGTATGTGTAGTTTTCATACATGTATTACTTTTTACTTTGTATATTTCCTGTCATTTGCTAAATGTTCAAAATTAGTGCTTTTGAAAACAGAAAGGCTTTCGTAGATGTGTTGTATCAAAAGGGTTATAAAACCTAATGATGTTTTCTGAAACACTGAATATTCCACTCCACTTTTATTTGGGACAAAATATTAAAAAAGAGAAAGGAATTTGACAAAAGGGGAAGAGCTGGTGTAGGCTTAGGAAACTAATTCCAATTTCTACACTCAGTCACGTTCTGACTGATCAGATATTCAAGCCTCATTTGGTCTGAACCAGCTCTTTTCTTTTGCTGCAGTCCTTTTTTTCAATACTTAGTATCACATAATGTAAAGTAGATAGAGAAATACTCAGAGTGACAGAAGCATCACTTGGTTTTACAATTAATCGATAATACATATCTAAAATAGACTTTCTGTTCTCAGAAGCACTCATTTTGAGCAATAGTAAACGATAGAAAGTAAACTGAGTTTGTTACTATTATTATTTTTTTATTATTTATTTTTAAAAAATTGTAATAAAATTTATTAATAATAATACTAATAATTAATAAATGACGTGTATGTTGTTTATGGAATATCTTAAATAAATGAATAAATATATGACAAAAAAATCTCGGTAATTTCTGGGAACACCGTATTTGTGGAATAGAGCTATATATGCATGAATACACTGTGAGTGTCCACGAAAAGCTATTCATAAGTTAAAAAGAACAAACTTAAGTTTATTTGCGGTTTAATTAATTTTTTATTCCAAGCAAACAGAAATGAGGAATATATAAAATATATATAAAACAAAAGTGAGAAAAAGTTCAACCACAAGAAATTTGGGTAATATATTGTCAGTTTCCAATTCCAGTTTCGAGGGGCAGTCCATTTATTGCCTTCAGATCATAACAAATACGTTGTTCATTTCTTGCCTAAAATTAAAAAAAATGCAAAACAGATACAAAGAAATAATGTAAATCATTAATATGAAAGCATTATCTGATTCATAATACTGTAATTTAAAGCAATTAAGATTATTCATTTCACATGAAGTTTTACCTCGTAAAGTTTTAATACATTTAACACATTTTAATAAAGAAACAGTAATAGTGTGTATGTATCATAAGTGCCGGTATATCAGAAATAAAATGCACCAAGAACATATCAATTTATGATGATATGTACCTAAATAAATACATACCTAATATGTACCTATGATACCTAATGCATCTGAAGCCAGAGGTTGCTCAAATTATCTACTATTACAAAAGAATTTTTCGAAAATGTTTTCAGAATCCCAAACAGAGGCCATATTTTTTACTCTTATAAGGCAGGGGCATCTACATGTAGCAAAATTTCCCATTTATGCATATAAGACATCAGTCTTCAATATACTGATTTTCAGTTAATTCATGGATTTTCTTAATATTTAATTAAGAAATATTATTATATACTATAATCGCTTTTAAAGTACATTTCAGTAAATTAGAGATTTTTGAAAATTTTGTCAGTAAGAGTTTTTTAAAAAGCAATTCTTAATTCTTACTGCACTTGGGGATCCCACAGGATTCTACGTAGTAAGTGCCGGGCCTCATGTAACAAACAGGTTTGGTAAACCCGTAGGCAGCGAAGTAATTTCTGCAGTAGTTGTTGTTAGGAAGGGAGGAGAAGACACTAGACCAGACCAGACAAGTTTTCCCACTGACCGTTGTACTGACCGTACCCTGGTAGTTAGACCCATCACCCGTATAACAATCCTCATCTAAAAGCCATCAAAAAGATTTTTATATTATTTGTTACATTTATACTTCATCTTTAGACTTCTTTTACGTAAATTGAATGGAAAATAATCCAAGTGTAATAGAATATAATTATGTTATTGAATAGTGTATGCAAATAATTTTCGAAAGCTAAAAGAAAAAGGATTAAACATCATACTTTGAGTTTCACCGCTGCCGGTATTTGTTGACGTAGAACCACTACTTCCGGTATTAGATGAGGAGCCAGATCCAGACGAAGACCCACTAGACCCAGAGGAAGACCCAGAACCATTATCATCGCTACCATCAGTGCAAAGGTTATTTGAACAAGAGTAACCGCTAGGACAAGAACTGCAGGAAGTTCCAGACTTGTACGGCTTCTGGCCATTGTAATTACCTCTGCAAGAAGATGGTACATTTAAATACTATAATAATCATACATACAATGTAATAATTTTTCTTTGTATTGAAAAAGAGAGAATATTATACCCGGGTCCATAATTGCAGACAACAATTGTTCCTCCGTTGAAGGAGCTGGATAATCCGGAAAAGGAAGAGCAAGTACTAGTGGCACATCCTACATACTCCGAGCTTGCCCAAGCTACCTGTAATTTATAGACTAGGAATATAATCCAACAAACTACTCCCTATTAGACTTGAAACATGCACGGATCTATAGGAGGGTTGTGGGGATTTTCAGAGTCAAACATTTCTATGTAAAGTTGGACCCCACCCATGAAACAAGGACCCTTCTCAAAAATAGTAAGAAGAGTCATGTTTCTGAAGAAATTGACTTAGAAAAGTGTTTTATCCTACACCCCACCCTACATCCCCACACCCACCCCCACCCCTGACGAAATAAATTTTTCAGGTTTGGGGATGAAATTTTTTAACAAGTATAAAACATTCCAAGCTTGACATCTGTTAGAGTTGATGTCTCCCTTCCCACCTTCACACCCGCTTCCAGAAAGAGATCAGGATCCGCGCCTGGGAAAGTAACTAACGTTCTCATACGTTTTGATTTGTTAAGTTAAAATTACAAAGTATATCCACATTCGAAATAGAAATAGAATTTCTGAAACGACACTAGAATAGCAAAAATATCAGTCCTGAGGAATGAAAAACTTACGGATTTTAAATCCATAGGAACTAAATTGAGGAAAACGGGAATGATTCATGTAAAATTCCTCTTAAAATCAAACATTGGGTTGCAGACAAATTACATTCACCTGCACATGTGTATACCGTATTGGTTTAAAATTTTCATTATTCAAAATCCTCTTTTTATGATAACCGTATACCTGGGTGTAATGGCCACACACTCCCGCGCATGCTAGGTTACTGTATGTATAGTCACTCTTCTCGCTATCCCAGGATTCCACAGCAGAACTAGGATTAACATAACCTATAATATAAACATTGGTACAGGTATTAGTATCATTATATTCTTGTTATTATTTACTGAAAATACATAAAATATTGTATGTAAAGGATTTTTAAAAATTAAAACAATACTAAAGGAGTATTCAAGGTTTCAAAGATACAACATTTCCATGAGCATACGTCTAATGTTAGTCGTCAATAAAAGAGTTCGATATATATATATATATATATATATATATATATATATATATATATATATATATATATATATATATATATATATATATTGTCATTATTCCTCAAATTACTAATGTAATGTTGAATATTACATTATATTATAGATATATTGTTAGATTTTCTCAAAGCACAGAACAATTGCATGGATTTAAAATTATTCTCACTTCTGGAGGTGACGTAGAGATTCTCGCCTACATAGCTGAACTGAGAGGTCAGGGCCTTAGTCTCCGTAGTTCGTGCCGAATTATGGCCCCATATGCATTTGTTGGCGTAGTTCTGAGCAACTTGGGCTAACTCATTACTCCATTTCTTTAAGACAGAGTTAGTTTTGTTTTATTTTTTAAACTTGCTCCATAAAAATTGCAAATAATCGTAAGTAATTGAAAATTTTAATAGCGTACATTGCACTTAAAGTAAAAGATTTAAGTCTTGGTTATCAAAGGGTAACTTCTATTGCAATTCACAGATTTTCAATAGAGAAACTTATGTGGGTTTTGTTCCTTTTCAAAATTTAAAATTTTGAATTTTTAATGATATCCAGACTCCTACCATCTTTCTCATATTTGAGGCGGTAGGGCTGACAATGGATCTTGCATCGTTATGAGCGTCTAGGAATTCTTGTTCATCAGAATTGCTCTGTCGCTTCTGTCTTGCACTTCTGGCGATTCTAACCTGACCTTTGGGATTGGATATCTAAAAAAAGAAATTCTTAAGCAACTCAGAAAAGATCATCAAATCATAATTAATTTCATACAGGTAGAATTTCTTTTTGTTTGTCAGCAAGAATGTCTGAATACGCTACTAGCACTTTATCAAAGAATGGACTTCATAACTGACACAAAGTAATACATGTAACATGTACATGTAAGTTTAAACATGTAGCTTTTTTGGAGTGATGTAAATATTGAATTTATGGGAGGAGGGAAGTAGAGAAGCAGTCTTAAGTACTCAAATGTACGATTTTTTCAAAAAAGCGAGAGATGTTGTGAAGGTACTTGACCCGTACAATTTACTTTGTAGTACATAGTAGCTCCCCTTTTTGAAACAAATAACATCCTTAATTCATTAAGACATGCTATACAAACTATATCTTTTCACAAATTTTTTTTTAGAATTGAGCACTGTTTTCTCTAGAATTCCACATAACTTTTAACTTATAAGTTCTTAGCCTGTTTTGAATAAGATCCGGTCCTCTATATTTGACCAAAAATGTTTTCATTTGGATTTGAATGAGGACCTCTCCAGAGCGACAGATCTGTAGAAACTACATTTCGTCTCATACATTTTGAATTAAAGCATGCTGATATACATGCAAATTGTTTGCATGGAAATACTTCACAAGTACACTGTACACATATATACGGTACTAACATCTTTCTGTATCTTCTGATAAGAAAGTTTCTCAAACGCAATGCATTTTCTATACACAAACGCAGCCGGGAAACAGTCCCATTTGAAACCTCAATCTAAAGCATTTAAGGTGAAATTTACGTTTGAATAAGAAGATTTTAGTAAAATCATGACAACGGCTAAAAAGACACGTGGAAGACATGTCAGCGGGAATAGTACTCAGTACCAAAAATTTCCGTGAAAAGTAAATTCATAGCAAACTAGTGACATTAAGGCTGTAATATGTGCAAAACGGGAAGCAATTAAGAACTACAAAGTAAAGCATCAACCAAGAGTAAAAAACTTAAATAAAATTACGAAATTCGTCATATATTTTGTTTGCAATTACAATAACACCAAAAATAACATTTTTTCATCATATTAATGAACAAGAAATTCAAGTTTGTCATAGTTAAAGTTAATATGCATATTAATCTATTTGTTAAATTCAGATGTTAATAATTTTTTTTAAGTTACCTCGAGACCGCGTAAATCTTCTGCAAGTTTGTCAAGCTCTCGCTTTTCATCCCATTCAACAGGAAGCTGGAATTTCCTTGCCACCAGGATATCTGTCAAAGACAAGCATATTACCAAAACCAGAAGGCCCTGCATACTGAAAACAATTCTGAGGAACCCAACGAGTGAATGAATTTCTTCAACAATCCAGTGCTTTATATGAAATATCTTGTCGTTTTGATGATGAAAAATGACGTCAAAACTGTGTTTAAGAATGGTCTTAGATATTATCTATAAATTACTTTCTTTTAAAACTGATTAATTTATCATTATATTTCAAAGTATTGGCAAATGTTTTTACAGGATAAGCATATATTTATGAACCCGTCGGGTCACGTTGACAGATCAACGTTAAGGTTATTAATTTTCTCTAATGTTTCATGTTGTCAAAACCATGTTAAATATTTCTAATAAAATATTGTCCTCAACTTTCTTAAATCAGATTTTGATGTTCCGAAGTTTGTTTGGCCGAATAAACAAATGTCTGGGATTAAAACCAATAGAGTTCATGTTAAATATCTTCGATTTGTTTATATTTTTATTTGCTTTGTAGTTCAGTATGCTAAGTCTGGCGGATTTATTTGTTTAATGTAGAACCGCATCAAATTGAAGTTTATTTAATTCTAATATCTTTATACTGGTAACTTCTTAATTAAAGAGGAGAAAATGAAATTTGAAAACAGCATAGGAAAATATAAATTTGAAAATATGATTCCTAATTTGTAATAACTACCTCTGGAAAATATGCGTAGAATTTATTTTCCATCGATGTATCAATAAATAAATCGTTAAAATATCATTCACTTCATAAATTCCCTCTTTTCTTTATAGATAGGCTTTTTTATGAAATAAAAACTTTCAAAGTCTAAATATTTACAAAAAATATAAAGAAAGAAAGATTAGGAAGGGGGAAAATCGATCCAATCAAATTATTTAAAATGTTTTATCAATCTATGCAAGTCATCAACTTTTTAATTTGGAGCACACTTTTTTATATAACTTATTATTAACGTTTGTTGTATGTATACGTAAGTTTAGACTATTGTATCATAGACGAGGTAAAGGTGCTGTATAATCTCTCTTGGAATACTGTCCAAGAATTTACAAAAAATGTCCGAATTTTTTTTCTGATTCTTTTCAGTGCATGTACTAAACAAGTCATTTATCATTAATATCTGATAAGTAAAAGTTGTCAGCAACGTGTCTTTTCCTGTAATTTCCTGTAATTTTCAATAATCGTTTCCTTACATTTTACCTGAGAAGGAGTTTTCTCTCCTTGATCCAACTTTAGGAGGTGATTTCAAAATCACTATGATAATTCATTGCACCCAAATTATAATTAAAAGGTCATGTAGGATACTAAAATGAATATGTTATAGAAACTTGTTAGACTTAATTATTGCTAAAACACAATATTCTTTACTAATTTCCCATTAAAGCTGTCCTAATTTAATAATTGAGAATTTAATTAAAATCCAGATGAAGTTGATAGGACTTATTGGATATAAAATCTATGAACTTGCATATAAGATATGCAAGTTCATAGATTTTAGGGAAAATGCATTTTATATCTTTTTGGAGTATAATATGTCCCTAATATTTATAGATACAAAGAGGTTATACATTCTCAGTAAATTTAACATCGATCCGCTTATTTTTAAATTATATTAATATTTGTGGCAACACAACGCCGGAAGTCACTTTGAATATGTCTAATATGTTCAAAGTCAAACCTCGAATACTGTTTCGTGTAGAATTACACACAGCCACATATAACATATATTCTGAAAACTTGCATAATCCTCAATTGCAGTGACATTAAAAACTATGGTATGAGATCTGTGCATTTATACTCGTAGCTAGGAATTTTAGATAAAATAATAAATTATGCACATCATCCAGGTGCCTATTTGAAATTTCAAATGAATACGCATTTTCATTTACGTTTTATTTTCATCACTTTAAGGAAAATAACACAAACTTTTTTTTCCGAAATCAGCAATAAGTCTAATAGATTTATGTTCATAAAGATATCTTGAATATTTCTTGCCAGAATAAAATTAGAAAATTTGTAAGATTTTGTAGTAATGTCATAAAATGTTAGAAAAAATTGTATAGATTTATACAGAAAATGGCACACAGTCTCAGTTTGGAACACGAAAGAATAATTACAAGTTCTTCATGTTTTAAGAATTTATTGTCTGTGTTATATCTTTTCAAAATCGATCAAAAAATATATACATCACGCATCAATTTTTTATTGTGTTACTTATCCTTAAGGAAGACACACTGCAAATTGTTGTGTTTTTAGTATAAATAATTTTGTTGAAACCGAGTTTACTTACAGCAAAAATAGAATAAAATTTTTCTACTCTGAGACAGGCCAAGATATGTTTACAATAATTAAGGACATTAATGACATGAGGCAGTTCCGTACATGTAACATTTATAATTAAAAAAGAAACTATACCCTCGGTATTGATTATACGAAATTTTAAAACAAAAAATCGTTTTAGTAGTATTACATTTATTTCTAATTAATTTATTATTCATCTGAAAGATATCTCAAAGATAGAAAAGATGTCCTTTTTTTCTCTTTTCTGTTTCTCCTTTTTCCTTTTCTGCACATTAAAAATAGGTATAAGTGTGTATCACTCATTTCATGTATAAAATGTTCTAGTAGCTTTTTACAACAGTTTCACGCTCCTATATGGTATGTCCTTTTAAATTATTTTTTTATCAGTTTATGCTAGATATTGTTAAGGATGATAATTGATAAAACAGCTAAATATTGGTAACACAGACCCCAGGTCTCACATGCAAGACACCTTAAGCTCTAGTAATGTTTCCTGTCTCAAAATTATTAATTCACTGTTTTTCCTTTGATCCCATTTAACCCTTTTCAATAGAGCTAGAATATCAACATGGATATTAATTTTTCAACGAAATAAGACAGGACGCGTTGTCTGGTATCAACTTCATTTTTGTCGACATATAAATCTTATATGGGTCATCACATTCAGCTCATAGGAAAACATGCTTGTTTGTTTTGTTTACTTATTTTTTTAAAAATAATTTTATCCATTTCAATTTTAGATAAAATCGGTAAATGACACGTGATAATTAATAAAGAGTCGTTATGGATGGACATTCAATAATATATCTTTTTCTCCATTCAAACTCTTTTATTGAGATTGTATTTCAAACATTAAAACTAACTCATTTCACAATCAGAACAAATTATTATAGAAATCAAAAATCAAAATCTATATATTTAAAAATACATTTATAGAGAACAAAAAAAGCTGGAAAAGAAATTAAACAAACCGACTATTTCATATTTTTAAATTAATATTAAACAAAAGGCACAAACGGATTGATCTGGGGGATTTTTTTTTTCTTCTCATTATTAATATTTGGTGTCTGTATGTAGGTATGCCTAATCAAGTTTCCAAGACTGCAATAGATATTTTTCAGACCCATCTTCAGAGCACACGCTATTCTTAGTAAGAGTTGTCATTCTTTAAGCCAACTTGGGGTCGTAAAGTGAAACAACTTATTAGGGCATAGGATACTAAAAAATATGTTAAAGGATTTGTAAAACTGAAGTTTGTTCAAGCTTGATTATTTAATTGCTAAATTATGTACTTATTAGAAAGTTTTGCTTTAAAAACCATCGTTATTTTGCATATATCTGTAAGTACTATTATATTATGAATATATTGAAAATATGCTTGAAGCATCAAATAAAGTTGGACTGCTTTCTGTTAAAAGAAAGGATTTACTAATACGTGATCATAAACACTGTAAGTCAAAAATATACAAAGGTCATGATCGGCATGATCTTTTCAACTTATGGGTACTGGACCCCACCTTTGCCGATTATTTGATTATTGTAAGATATTCCATTTGAACTTCGGATTCGTTATGTTACCTTTTAAATTTTTTTTTTCTTGACTGACATGGAATACTGGTTATAGATATGTATTGTATATGAGTAAATTTGCATGTCTGTTTGTCTGTTTTTCAAGACAGATTCAGAGTAATTTCTAAACTTAAGTATGACCATTGTATGAAGAAGTAAATTTTAAGAGGCAGTCTACGAGAAAACCATGCAGAGAGCTATTCATGTTAGGTTCTCAATTTCACTACCCATTATCATATTTATTCATTTCAATGTATTGTAAGACTTTTCTGCAAATTTGGTCAAAATCTGGTAATTAGCACAGTGTACATGAGCGCCATCTATGTTTGTCATTGGCAAAGTGCCATAATGTTATAAAACACATGAAAAAATACCAGTTTCCTTTATAGCTTTACTTCATAATAAACAAATTTCAGGGAAAATATATGGGATATTTGTACATGTATGAACAGTGTTAATCATTTCCATTATAAAAATTCTAAATTTATTAAACTTTTAATGAGAGACAACTCTAACAATCTCATGATGTTCTAAAAATAGATTTTTCTTGCCTTAATTCTAAGAGCCATAACACCTGATACACAGTTGAGAGAGAAATTTCTTTTTGTTCCTTGAAAGGTCATTACATAGTGTTTTTATCAGAAATTGGAATTTGTTGGATAATAAAATATAACGAAGTTATGATGAAAACAAACTTACACCATTTTTTAAAATCAACAAGGCCAATTTTAGCCCATATTGGACCTAGTTCTTTTATGTTACAAATCTAAATATTTGCTACATATTTTGTAAAATGAACATAATAATCTACACTTAGTATAAAAATATCAATTTTGCCTCAATTACAACATTCTGCAAAGATTATACCATTCATACAGTTATTTTCAAACCTCATAGGGGTGGGAGGGAGTTAACTTCATTAATGGTTTTTATTCCATTATAACATAATGTAGACATCTGTATTTACATGTACCTCACACAATATCTTCCGAAAGTAGAGTTCAAGGAGAGAAGTAGAGTATGATAAAATAATGAGCTCCATAGGCATGTATGTTATGGGAAATTTGGGTTGAAATCTACTTATGAGACCAATAATCCTTTGAGGCGCATAGCAACTTGGTGGCTAAAGCATAGCAACAATTTACTTGCTAAAAATTTAAAACAAGAATTAGTACAAGTTCCTTACCATAAAACTACTAGTATTGTTTGCATCCTCAAAGACAACATGACTTTATATGTGAATGGATTGACTTAACTACCATGTTATAAATTCAAGTGATCCTATGTGTAATATGACTGTACATCTATGAAATCTGTAAAGAGAGCTTTATAAAGAGAAGAAAAAAATACATTCAAAATTCTACACTAAAATTCTGAAAAGTTATTTTACCCCAGTACATGTACCATGTTTCTGAAGAAATCAAATATCCAGAAAAATGTACTTTCATTCTTTTGACGAATACACAGTAAATCAATGAAATAACATCTCAACAAAATGATATATTTTGTGGAAACCCTAGAAGTTCATCCCAACAAAAATTAATGTAATGAAGTACATGTAATTACATATGGGGAATACACATCTGAGTATTATTATATAAACATTATTCAAGTAAATCTAAAAAAAAACATTGAACTCAAACAATGAGTTCCTGTGACAGCCATTTATTCCGCTAGTTCATTGGCTATTGCTTGGACACTATCAAATTGTTCTGCTGCCTGAAGACTACTTATGATATTTTCGAGTACTTCGACATCCTGCTCATCGTTGACCTCCTCCAACTTCAAGCCCTTTGTTTGGGAAGTACAGCTTAGCATTCTTTGTTTTTTTAAAACAAAACCTGCAAAAACACCTCTGATTTGTTGGTGTGTCAACCATTCACTTGGGCTAAAAAGTCTCTCCCCATCAAAGTCTTTTTCAGATCGCATCTGTCTGCTTACAGTGTATGGATTGGCTTTTCGGCCGGTTTTCTCTCCTTCATCATAAATCTCAAGCAAATACTTTTTCACCTTACTTGAAAACCTTGTATTTTTCTTCCGCTGCTTCAGTGCGTATGCCGGTGTCTCATACGAGACTTCATCAGCAGGGTTAATATCACATGTTTCCACACTGACACTGGGCTGAGTAGATCTGATTTTGGTGCATACTTCTGCCCACATTCTCTTTGAAGTGTCCAGTATGTTGTCGGTCTTTTCATTGTCATAAACATGATTACCAACTGCTAGGTGGTTAAGCAGTTGATTCTCCTTTCTGAACTCTTTTACACAGTTAGGATCACAACATGACAGTAAACAACTTGTAGATTTTCTTTGTCTTGTCTTCTCAGATTGTCAAACCCTCAATCATCCTCAACAGTATGGATTTGCTATATTTACTTGCAATTAGGGATAGAATCTGAGTGCGAGTTGTATGATCTGTAGCCTTCTTGTATGCCTCAGTTACTGTGTCTGTCATTGAATCTTGATGGAATATGGCTGAGCCTTTGTAGCTGTTGATCACTTCATCAAGGAGTTGTTGACTCTGGCCAGGAGCAATGATGTCACAAATATATTCAAAAGCAGCTTTTGCATGACGCACATAATATGCTCTTGTTGAGTACTGCAAGTCCTGCAGAGGTTGGCTTACTTGGGAGCGTAGGCATTCCATGTGGCCGTTTGTCAACATTTGCATTGCATCATTGTACTTCTCCCTTAAAGACTTTTGCATATCTGACCAATTTGATGCTGCAGTGGACTGAGACAAATGCAGAGATTCACTATCTGACATCATGATATCTGTAAAGAATAAAAAAATAATCATTTACATACAACTGATGAAGGGTGATGAGTTTAAGAGAAAAAGAAATACTAGTAGCACTTATTTGGGGATCAAGTTTGTAAAACTTTGCAGTAAGTGTTTTGCATAAATTTCTTTGACATATATGAAATGATGTTAACAATTCTTACTAGGAATGTCTAAATTTTTTTTCATTCTTGCACCATTGTACAGATATGAAAACAGACATAATCAATCAGTAAATTATAAATATATTGATATCCAAACATTCTAATATTGTGTGGATTTATTTTTTTTTCTCTCAAATTTTTATGGTTTCTTTGGTTGGACCAGGGCTAAATTGGGTATCAAATTTTGCATATTAAGGCATGTATAAAGGAGTAAAATATTCTTTAAAACTTTTTTTTTCCAGAACATCAAGGCCTTTTAGTCATATTCATTTTGAAGCATCCCATTATGTATGGATTCTTGTTTAATCACAAACTGTTTGGGACTAAGATGTGGTCACAATCTGGGGGTCAAAATTGGTAAATGGGGATAAAGAAGGAAATACAAGTATTTAAACACCTTCAGAACATGGCCAAAGGTAAATCAGGTGTCTTGTGGACTATGGGCTTTATTCTTAGTAGTAGCTCAGAAAAATTCGCTTGAGCTTTAGAGCTTTTCATCATAAGGATTTCAAATAAATTTATTTTAATAAGGTCACTTAAAATGGTTTCAGTATAGGAGAAATTTCATTACAATGTCCATTGTAAAATAAATGAGAGCAAAGAATTACCACAGGGAAACCCGGTTATTTGTATATGCTGACCTTGGTCAAGTTCATTTGTCTGAGAGACATGTGATACTACATCAGTTTCTTCAGCAGGGTTAACATTGTTGTTAACATCTGAAAATGTAGAGCATTCATCTTATGAAGTATTTAAATTTCATATATAATTAATAATGATTACAAAAACAAGTAGCCCATGGGCCTTAACGGTCACCTGAATATAATACAAAATTGCAAATGATCCATAGAAGTATAGAGTAAAAGAAAATAAACATAAAGATGAAACTATCTTGTCAAAATGGAAGACAATTAGGATGACCAGGAATCAACAAAATAATTAATCTGGTGCTCAGTAACAAATCTAAAGTAGATCTATTTTCTTGCCTGTACTTGCTCCCACGTGTTACAATCACCATTCTGACTAAACAAAACAGTAGTGCTTAAGCAATTTCAGAAAACTAATCACTCTTTCTCATCATAACCATGTACTAAATATGTTTGCTAAATACTCAAGGGCAAAAAAATATGAGCTATGAATTTCATAATTTTGGAAGAGGTATCCTTGCTCATCATAACCATGCAAGGTTTACCATTTGATAAATTTCAATATATGACAAATTTAGCCCCTCTCTGGGCCTTGTACTTTGACCTGAGATACATGAATTTCATAATTTTTGTAGTGTGCTAACTATTTATTATTATCATACAAACAATATGCCTGCTAGAAAAAGATTTTTGTTCCCACTTTTGTGAAAGCAAAGAGACATTAAATCTCAATTGTTTGTCTGTCTGTCACAAAAGAAGCTGAAAATACTTAAAAAAAAAATTGCCAATGCAATACAAAGGAAGGACAACAGACAAAAATTGATAGCAAAATGTCACCTGAAAAACTCAGGTGACCTAAAGATATAAATGTTTTTTAATTAAAAATTTTGCATAAATAGTCTGAAAGTTTAAGGAAACCATTCACAAACAACATACCATTGACTTCAGTGCAGTCTCTCAGATTAGGTGAAGGTAATGAGGCACTAGTTGACATGGTCAGCTGCTCAACTCTGTCTAAGTGAAAAGGAAATATATGGAGATATCAAACAGTATTCAAGCTCAAAAGTCCATTCAAACAATACAAATCAGGAGCGGTGCAAACATGGACCTGTTATATAATGAGGGACACATCCCATATTACTTGTCTTGTTTGGAATGCATAATTTTGGTCAATCCATAACCCCCCAACTCCAACCACCAAAAACAGAAAAAAAAAACATGGATCCATCCCTAATGCCAATAAACTGGAAATATTTATGATATACTAGTAAAAGTAATTACCTTTTATTTCTTCCACAACTTGTTCACCAAGACCGAGATCTGCTTTGTGTTTAGAAACACATGTTCTGCATACAGCTTAAAATAAGACATTTAAAAAGAATTATTAATATGTGTCCTCATGAATAAGGTTTTCTGTTTTCTTTATGAATACTTGGTCAGTTTTGTTATGGTTTCTAGCTAATTAAGACCTAGCTTCATGACTGATTTACATACATGGGTGCAATTACAAAAAAATCATGATCAATAAATGTAAGTGTTTCTAACATCTTGCTTATACTTTTGAAAAGTTTAATGTACACAATAATTTGCAAAAAAACATATTTGGGTCTTAGTCGTTGAACATATTTTGGTTTCAGTTTTAAATTCTTTTGTAAAATGGGGTCTTGGCTCAGTATGTGCTTTTGGTACAAAAATCTTATCAACCTGACCTCATACATGTATTCACAAGACCTTACATGTACATGTACTTCAACATCATGACTTACTAGACTTGGCTGGCCTCAGTAACATTTCACATATAATTAATATGAATCAAATAAATACATACATGGTTATGCCATCTTTAAAAAATTGTTTGGTTGCCCTCTCCCAACCGACTGACTAAAAATAGCCCAACTTAAATTACGTTTTCAACCTGAGCAAAAATATTGTTTATTTATCGATCAAGACAGTAGCCTAACCATATATTTTGTTTATCCTGCAATGTATTTTTACATCTGACCTCCAAAACGAGCTTCATTAAACCAATTTAGGCACGTTTTTGCAGTTGAAACTAAAATGCCACATGGCATAAACATTGCAATATTTTTGACATCACAACTTTTAAAATGTGAGAATACATGCAAAAGGCTTTATTAGGGCATTGACCAAATATTGTTTTACTTTACTAGATTACCTTGATTAGGTCAATGCAAGCGGTGATTGCAGGGTAAACATTTGTACCAGGGCTCTCATACCCACTTTTCTGTCCTGGGGTCTGGGTCATTAAAACTTGGAAAATTAGTGACAATTCGGGGAATACTAATCTATGTATTCATTCTACATGTTCTACAGTAAAACTCATCATATTTTGTGTTTCTGGTGTTGAGTTGTTTTGTTGCCGTAAACTTTCAACTAAATAAGTAGCAAGTTTAGGTATATATATTCAATATTTGTTCTTGGGAAAATTTAAAACATAAATGTAATAATAATAATAATAATTCAAGGACATTCAGTACATGTAACATTTGAAAAAAAATGTAGATTTGGACAAATTTCTTATTTACCTTCGCCTATCGGGACTGACAGTTGTAGACGCAACCAAAGTTCCCGACTCAAAACTGGTGTGATGCCTCTGTCTGGTTTTGTTTTAGATTTTCCATGAAAGGGATGTACACAAGATCGCTTGCTCCGTTTCCAGTACAGACCAAGCGCGTCTCTGTGTTCTTGGCAAATTTTCTTGTCTAGTTGTGCTAACGTGATCACATTAACACCTGCTCTGCATAGTATTAGATAACTTTTGGGCAGATCTATACCCTTAGAGTTCGAATTTAGGTGTTTGAGATGGTGAAAGGTTTGTTTTACACAGTCTTTCAAATAATATATCGCCTTTTCTTCACAACCTTCACCAAAATCACACACCCCAGACGACATCGCTGCCATTTTCCCTCCATGTAAACAATGGCTTTTTTCCCTTCATGCACTGAAGAGTTCGAAAAGATCGATAATTCCGAAAAAAAATTAAAGCGTTTCAAAGGTGTATTTCTTGAGACTTATCGTAAATCCAAGAAATTCCTTGAAAGATTTTGTGTAAAAATTCACGTTAAATCAGATAAATGAATGTAAACAAAAGTTCACCCGTTGTATCAAACACAGTACTGTGTCTCTCATAGACAAATAAATAGCCAAGTAGATTTTCTTTAATAAAACCTTTTGAATTTCCCAAATGAATAAGATCTGGTAAATAAAATTTAACTTTATACAAAAAGTAATACTTATTTATTCTACATAGAAAACAAAAATATCCAAAATCATTGTTTTATTTGACATTTTAAAGGGCTTATAAAAGTGCTTAATTTTCCTTGAAATCCCAGCACACCAGAGAGCTATAAATAGATTCAGAGCTATCTCAAATAGGAGGACGCATTTGTTGAAAAAATTTTCACAACAGATATTAAGGTCCATTCTCTTTAAAATGATGTAGTTAAAATAATCTTTTTTTAATGTGACTTGTGTAACATATATTTATTTTTGCATGATTTTCTCGTAGACTCGCTCTTAAAACATTTATGTTTTGAAGTACTGTATTACATTTTGGTAGTTTTTTTGTATTTGCTTTATTCATGTGAACTAGATAATTGCATGTAGTCTTAGGAATATTTTTGGTAGATATTTTTATTTGTTCCTATTACATGTTTAGATTGTTGATCAAGATTTATTTGATCAACAAAATACATTTTCAACATATATAGTGTTTATGTTGTGTGGAGGTAAAGGAAGGTGGAGGCATAAATGTAACTACATGAAATACACCAATATCCGGAGATTCGTTAAAGGACATTTTTGATGGATATTAATTTTTCCATGTTTTTGACTATTCTACTGAAATATCTTTTAAAAGCAATTTGAAAGGAATTACGCGTAATTAATTTTTCTACTATTTAAAAAAATTACATTAAGTACAATAGTGATATCGGTCAGTTATGTTTAACCTAAATCATGAAGAAAATTATCAAAATATCTCAATTCCCTTTTTAAAATCGTTTTAAGTAGTATATGTAATACTTATTATTTGTTCTAAAAGAATCGGAACATTTTCATAGATATAAAAAAAAAAAATGTTTTTTCTCTCTTTCCCAAAACAAAAACTTTTTGTGTATTTATATGACTATCTTTCATGGATAGTCCAGATTTTTTTTTTAATTTTATTATTTATAAATAATTTGACGCACCAAGGAGATGGGCATGAAAAAAACGTTGTCCAGTTTATTGCTATATTTGTTGTTCATGGCGATAGTTGATAAAACAACTTAATCTTCAATTGGTAACACAGTCCCTAGGTCATACACATGTCGGACAATTTCAGCTGAATAATGATTCCTACATCTAAATCATTTATACATGGCTACTGTCCTTTGATGCCATTTAAACCTTTTAAACATAGAACTAGAATATCGACACGGATATTTATTTTTCAAATAAATGGGAGAGGATTCGTTTTTGATTAATAATCCTGTTGACGCATGAATCTGATCTTTCAGTTTAAAGGGTTAACATAATCAACTCATCAAAACTCACATAGCTTGCTCGTTTCAATTACTGATTTATATTTGAAAACTAAATTTATTTCAAATTTTGATTTAAATTCTTCTTCTTATTGATACTTGTAACGAACTCATATAAGCTGGACATTTTTATGCTTTTTTTCTTTCATTTAAACTCTCTTCAGAAATTTTTATGAAAACAGTTCAATTTTTCCGTCATTTATTCATCAGAACAGACTAATATTCATGGGGTTTCAATTATTATGCATCACAGTATTCTGCAAAGAAAATTATGAGGAAGATTCGACGTCTTTTTTGTCAAGACCGATGCATGTAATATACATAGAGTTTCTACAAGGATCAAGGTCAAGGCTACCATTTCCATACAGATAGAAACAAAACCAAATAGCATTAGGATTAGCATCAGTATCTTAAAGGTATATGGAATCACTCTATTTAGAAAACTAAAAAGAAAATGGAATACTTTTATTGCATTTTTTTTTTAAAATGGGACCTTTCCCTTTTATCTGTTAAGTGGAGTACAGTGAAGCCTTCAGATGCACCTCTTTGATTTTTTTTTTTTTTTTTTTTTTTAATTTTGAACATATTTTATTGATTAAATCAAAAGGATTGGAAACAAGTTCTAAAATAACTTAGTAGTTTCTTTCCTCATATAATACAATATGTCATGCAAATTAACGAAGAATAATACGAATGATACAAATAAAATTTAACATATTGTAACGAAACCGAGGGTATAAGGTTATTACTTAATCAGTTAATCGTGGGCCGCTGTTGGTTACTGGTAACTGGTCAAGGTTGAAATGGTTATCCACAAAGTTTATATACAATCGGAATAATGACCAATTTTTGGTCCACTGAATAATTGGCGAAATGACCAATTTTTAGTTCACTATAATATCTGCACTAGAACCGTGATGAATAACACGTTGTAAAGTTTATGATATTTATTAAGACGATCAAATGGTTCAGTTATAAGCACAATGACACACTTGGCTGGTACAACGTTATTTGGTTAATACAAAGATGACGAACCAATGGTCAATCCAGGACGTTTCTACTCTAAATGACTCTTCACTAATGATTTCGTATACATAGACTTGGTACTGTTTGTACATACCACTGTCTAACACCCGAAGTATACGGAGTCGCTACCCACTGCAGACTGACTTCTAAACACAAAACAGCTGTCTTTTATAGACAAAAGTTGTTATGATGACGTATAAACGTCAGATACCAATAACGTCACAATCAATATCTAATTTGTAAGTTAGCGGGTTTTGACCACTAAAATTACTTAATAACGTTGTACCTATATAGAACATATACAACATAACGCTTTGTAATTACAATACATAAATCAAATTGATAAAGTTCAAATAATAAATCATTGTTCAATTCTTTCGTTCATTGTTCATTGACAAATATTTTAGTAGTTTATACACATCGGGTTCAGGGTCCGTTTATTCGGAACTTGTCAACAACAGTTAATCCGAATTTCACAGGTAAACTTATCGGAACGTAACAATATCAACTAAGAAAAACTACACGTTTCGTCAATAAATTTATGAACAGCAACAAAAATACTGTTATTTATCTGTAAAGGCAAATTTTCATCACCACATAGTAATAGGTTTAATTTAATGGTGACCAATTCAGGCATGAACAAGCGATTGAAAAGAGTATTTCTAGCATTGGAAGAATTATATATATATATATATATATATATATATATATATATATATATATATATATATATATATATATATATATATATATGTAGGACAACAATTTTTTTCAGCATTTATTTCAAATCAGATTTTACACATGCATTTGAACGATGTCGGGTCTTAAAATACTTCTACATTGGCAAGGTTTTTATCATATACCTCATCCATTCTATATTCATAGTAAGTGTGTAATTTGTACTTTACCAAATCCAAAAATAGAAATAGAGTAACTATAAAAATCACAATCTTTATTGTGGCCTTTAATATGTAAAACTTTTTTTTAATTTTTTGTAATGACCTTTTTTCTTTGGATAGTGTTATGTGTTGAAAGGGTAACGGACTTTTATTCGAATAAAGATTTATTTTTTCTTAAACCTTTGACAGCAGAAGATTAAGAATCGAATATGCTGCGGTGTTAAGTTCCAAAATTATTATTACAATGTAAAAGAATATTTCCCGCCTGTATTTCAAATAATCAAAATATAGTATATTTTCTTATTGGAAAGATAAACAAAACATAATTGAAATTGACTGATGCTAAAGTCTTACGATGGATAGAAGAGATCAATATTTCTTTTTACTTCCTTCGAAACAGCTTAATATTCATATTTCTAAATGAATTTTGCAAATGACAAGTTACATTTGAGATGTGTAGATGACGTCTGGATGGTAGGCTTTACACGTTGACGGAAATATTGCGCAAAAATGTATTTTTTGTTCTTCAATTGACCTTTTAATGCTAAAATACACAGTAGCGGGCGTTAACAAAAAGAAAGCGTGCATGTATGTGTGTAAAGAATTACTAAGCTTGAGGATAAACATTGAAGACAATTTACACTTTGAAAGCAAACATCCAGTTTCTAATTCTGAAGTTAGATTTATTTAACCTTAAACACACTCTATTTACATCTGAGAGGTTTTATTGGAATCATCTCAAACTCATAATATTTACTTATCCAGATATTTTATTTGAAAATGATTTTTCAACGGTTACCGTACATTGAAACATTAGAACTGGTCATCAGAAGTTTTATTTATAATTTTTATCAGTTGTTCACCGTCTACAGCAAAAAAAAATGAATTTTTCACTCTGGATTTAAAATTATGTATTTGATTGTTATTTCCAATCAATGTATTAAATGTTTTTTTCTTGACCATTTAGTCATTGTCTAAATATTACATAAATAGTAATCTTGTTGGCCCTAAATACCATATTACATGAAGCGTTTGGAAATCTATTTCATGCCTGAAAGATAATTGCTGAGGGGTTTCTTTACCTACATGTATAATAATAAATGCTTTTGGTATTCATTAATCCAAAACCAGCTTCTTTTGGCGACATTTAAACTTTAACACAAAAGTACGCAAAAGCCTTAGAATATTAGAATAAATAATGACTGGGGTAAAATCTTATGGCAGTTTTCTTCCTAGGAAGGAGAAAGGACACACACGTTTTTGCGTTTATATTTTCATTCTTTTCTTTACATAAATCAAATCGTTCTCTAGAAGCGGCAGTTACATTTAAATCATCTGCAAAAACATGTCTGCATGTGCTGGTAATACAATGCAATATTATTTTTCGAGGGATCGACTTTGAAAATAATCTCTTTTCAAAAGAAGATGGATTTTATGGCTTCTAAGGGCTTATTTTTGATTAATTTACTTTTTCGAAATTGATTGAAATGAGAGGGCTTGTAGTGTAAAATGTTCACAGCTTGC